CCATAACGCGATTGCAAGGGAAAAGAGTAGAAGCAAGAAAAGCACACGAGGCCAGAAAAAGACCAATAGAATGTAACCCTATGATCATCATCATCACCACCATCCCCCCGTGTTTCTGAGCGATACGAACAAAAAGGCAAGGGCCCAAGCTCACCAAGTATGCCGAGCACACGCACCCACGCAGCACCCACGCAACACCCACGGCCCCCCCCCCCAGAAGAGGATGAGCAAAGCCAGGGATCCAAAGAAATCAAGGCAAAGAAGAAGAGCCGCTGCAGCGGCAGCGCATCCGACAGGGCGGGATTTGCCGTTCGTCTCCAGGCCCAGCGCAGCAGCACCAAGGCACGAGCAAAAAAAGCGAAAGAGAGAATAGTGCCAACCCATCCCTCCACCCCCTTCCCCCTTCCCACGTCAACCCCCCCCCCCCGTCCATTCGACAAGGCATGGGGTTCAGCCAGCAGCACTTGTTCGTAACCAACTGGGGTTGGTGGGACCCACACCCCCAACACCCATGTCAGCAACGCGCCAACGCCCATGGTTACCGGGACCCACCTTCATGGGACTGGGACTCTCTCTTTATTCGTAATGTAACAAAATCAGCCGATTCGGCACCGACAACCAAGGGCCGCGCTTTTAATTGACCCGCTGCCCGGTTTTTTATGCCTTGAAACAGTGTCCGTACGTACGTAGCGTAGTTGGTAGTAGTGTGTGTGTGTGTACATGGGAGGGAACGTAGAGAGGGAGAGAGGGAGGAGAAGGGATGCCAGAAAAAAAAGTGGGGGAGGTGTGAGGGTGAGAAGGGCAGAGGCCCCACAGACTTTGTGATGCTGTCATGCTGCCCTGTCCACGAGGGAGAGAGGGCCAAGACGGGATGACTGGTGATGTAGACGTGGTGGTTTGTGTGTGAGAGAGAGAGAAAGAGAGAGAGAGGCAGAAGAGGAAGTGAGCCATTCCCTTTTGCTTGATTTTCCAATGTCTGAACACCGTCCATCTGAGAAACAGTGTCTTTTTTCTCTCTCTCGGAGTCCTGTTTTCCCCCAACATTCTTTAGACTCTTTTTCTTTCCTTGTTTCTCTTAACAAGTAACGTAAAATCTACAACATACCCAACATACTCCCACGATCGTACATTCAATCCATCCCCCCCCCTCTCTCTCTGTTCCATGGAGTCTCTTCGGGCACTTTGGCTACGTGCGTAACTTCGTCTTTTGGATATTTCCCACCCACCCATACCCCCATGCAACACACACACACTCTCTCTCTCTCACACATACATGGCGCAACTGACTCGTCAGGCAGCCCAGCCCAGCCCAGCCCAACCCAGCACAACGCACGCAACACAATGCAACGCCAAAAAAACCACGCACGTATGTATACATCCGCTGCTCTATCTCTCTTCGTTCAAGGTGCTCGGTCTACTACATACATTCTCTCGTCATCACGGTCTTTCTAAGATACTTCCTCATCTGATAAAACCCTCACCGAACGCACCAACCCACGCACGCACACGCTCCCTCCCGGCCCTGTCGATCTTTGCTCCTCTTTTTTTTCCTGTCTGACTTGGAATTGTCTCGGGAAGTGGGAAGCTGGTAAGGGTAGGGTAGGGGGAGCCGGGGGGTTGGTCGGTCAGTCGGTGGTAGTTTGTAGGCTGATGGGTAGTTGCGGAGCCTAAATTGGGGGGAGGGAGGGGGGAGGGGGCCTAGACACCCATCTCTGCACGCTTCGGCGGTTCTGCACGTCTTTTTTTCCTTCTGTTGTGCGTGGGATGGAGATGGCGATGGGCAAACGGCGGGCGGGCGGGCGGGCCAATATTAAACTACTACTACTGCTTAACTAACATGCTAACCGTACATACATATGTACATGGACATGGAGGGGATCGGGCCAGGGTCCTTGCAGGTTCCCAGCAACGGTTTCGGGTCGACCAAGGATTGAGTGAAGGGTACGTGTGTAAGTAGTTTAGGGAAGGGGAGAAGGAAATCAAGGCATCCATGGGTGCCTGCCCTGATCTGACCTGAACAGGTCGTTTGTCTGGGCTTCAACGTGCCAACCCACCGCCCCCTCCACTCCTCAGCCCAGCCACCGTTTGCAGTTACATGTAACTGTGCCCTCTCTTGTTTTGTCTGGATCGGATGCTGGGGTACTTGAAATCGGATGGTGCCCCTGTCCTCCTTTCGTATTATCACTGCCGGGCAGGGCAAGGCGGTTTTGTGGCCTTGTCCATTTGGCCAACCTACCTATAGGAGATGGGGAAAATTCCCCCGTTACGTACGCGAACTTTGACGGGAGGGGGCGTGTCCCCGTTCTGCTGCACGTCGTGTTCCTGACGAGCCCAATGGGGTGGCCCTACTTGCTTGCTTGCTTCCTGGTGCGGCTGCCTGACACACCGTGATGGCTTTACTCTACCATGGAACGGCTGAATTACTGGTCGCTGTAGATGTGACATTGCAAGGCTGTGCAGTATGTACCATCGGGCGCTTTGTACACCTTGTACATATCTCTCTATCTACTCTAGTTGCGTTGTTGCTGCGGCGTTTTGCGCGTCTAGAGTTGAGATCATGTAGGCATTTTCCCAGTCGGTGCATGAGCGCTTGGCCCCCGACTCGTTGGCTGAGTGGTTTTGGGTGATAATGGCAGAATGTAACCCACTTTGCATTACTTTGATATCGCGCTCGATCGACTCGTATCGATCGCTTGCTGTCCCACTGTGCTGAGCGTCCAAGTGGAGCTTGTTGTTGGACGCTTCTGGGCTTTGTATCTCGTCATTGCGCATGAGTCCAATAATTGCTTTTTCAATAGTCGCAATGCTTGTTCTTCCCCCACGTTCCTCATTTCCCTGTCCGACATCGTTCGTTGCACTTAGACCCTTGCCCGTATCACCAGTCCTTATTTCTTGTACCGTTGACGTTGACAAAATGATCGCCGGCTGGATAAGAGACTCCTGGGCTCCACTTGATGTATTGTCAGGCAACGGCGCCTTCACTTTGCGCGCCATTCTATTACCCCGATTTCGAGTACCTGGCGTGCTTTTGGTCTGCGATGAGCCCATGCTGGATGCCTCCTTAGCACGTCTAGCCAACCTGGCTGCACGAGCATCTGGTGGAGCCTCTCCCTCCTGTTCCAACTTGCCAGCCACATCTTCATTCCTGCTTTGCGACTTCAGCTGTTCTGCTGCTGGCTGGGCCTGCTGTGTTACCGCAAGCGCCGGACTCTTGCTCTTCCTCGCAAGGTCCTCTTCACTCAGCTCCACCCATTTTGCGCCCACTTTCTTCATTTGTGTGAACCTAAGGAATGTTTGGCTCGATCCGCTTGTGTCCATATACTCCGATCCTTCGGGCGGCGCATTGCGGCCTCTGACGTACAGTTGGCTAGGCCGGTGATACTCATCACTGCTACGGTAGGTCTTGTGGAACTCGACCGTATCTGAAAACTTGAGTCGCTTCCGTCCAAGCAGGGAATTGGTGCTCCGCGATCGCTTGGGCGACGGCCGAAAAGACAGTGGCGCATCACATTGCTGCAGCCGTGGATTGGGTGATTCTTCAGCTGTTACAGGAGGTTGGGTTGTTGGCGAATGTGATCTTCGACGCGTAATGCCTAAATGTGGTTCCTCGCTCCCATGGAACACATACTGCACCTCCGGACTTGCTTCTTTAATGCGCGTAGTGCATTCTCTAGTTGGTGGAACCGGGAGCGCCTCTACTGTCATGAGCCAGTTATCGAATTCCATGCGGGCTTTTTTGTGTTTGTCTCGCGCAAAACTCTTCGTGATGGAATCACGCTTGTTTTCGAAAGCCGCCCATTCCGTATCTGCAGCTTGTAGAGCATCATAGAGTGTGCCAAACCGCTGACAGGTGCTACATCCAAACTCGTCTGGTGCTTGTACGGGAGTAAGCCCATCAGCTGTGACAGCTGCGAGGACTCTAGTGCATGATTTGCACTTGATTGCGTTGTCACCGCCTGCCATGTGGAACCTGTTCGGTCGAGGGCGGGGGGATGTTAACAGGATCAGAAATTTGGTATAATATCGCTGTGAACGGAATTCGCAGAACTCCAGAGCAAAAGAGTGCCTGCGGAGATACCAGGCATATAATCGTTAAGGCAGTTGCGGATGTAACGATTCAAAGGTGTGGAGTCAAAATGAGATTGTTTTGATTGAGATAGACACGCAGCAAACCCCTCCGTGATCGTCAAAACAACGCGCCGCGCTTTCCGTAATGACAGTGAACACTGTATCGCGGGGGTCTGTATGCAGCAGAACCGTGGATGAAGTCGGATTCAAAGATGTTTGATGTTTTTGAGCGGTGATGTCAGAGACAAACAATGCTGCAACTAAATTGCTTGTTGCCTTGCTAATGTCGCTAATCCCGGTTGGGCCATCCCTTATCCTCGGGACGACAAAAAACAAAGGCAACATCGTGATTCCTACACAACACTAATGTCCATGTAAGAGATTTTGAATATATGGTTGGCAGGCAGGATATGGGCTATTTTCCACGAAGGGAGTTGGGATTGGGACTATTACAAGCCAGTTCATTGTCTGATATGTGAAGGATAAATCTTCGCAAGAGGTTTCTTGGGATGTTGTTGTACAAGAAAGAATACAGTGTATGCAAAGATGATACCTGGGATGTGACATGTTGGGGTTTCACGGTATCATAAGTTATGTAATCTTGAATGCAGATCTCGTCAGTCATCCAAGGCAATATATTCATTTCTTCTCGCTTGACAGCCCACTCCATGATCTTGATGTCGCAGTAAGTGGCCTGCCTTACTACATCTGATCAATCAGTTGCAATTTGAGGAGAGGTAATTCATCTACTTTGACCTGTGGAGATCTCCCCAAAAAGAATGCCGAAACATTACATTCAACAGCAGACATTCTCAGCATACAGCCGCAAGTGGTGGATTGCTACCGTCCCAGCCCCCTTTTAGTGTATCCGATCATAACAGCAAAATTCTATGCCTGATTTCCAACCCCGTCTCTATATTCATGTAGCCCCGTCAGCTATTAAAAAACTCACTCTCTCCATCCATCTTTCTCTCCAACTCCTTCTCTGTCATGCCCGCAACCTCAAGCCCAAAATGATAGTTATGCCATCCAACCTGCCTCTTATATCTCTCCACATATCCTCTCGTCATGTCCCTCCACGATCCCTTTCCTATGCCTTCCAGCCGCGGGTCTGCACTATCAAGCAACTTTGTGGTCCCATCAAGAAAGTTTTCTACAAAAGAAATTTTCTCAACACTTCCAAACGATTCCTTCATTATTCTCGCTACCATGGCAATATCGGCATGAGGCATAGTTTGGACGCCAATAATGAGTTCTGTTAGATGCAATTCCTTTGCCAAAGTGCGCAATTGGCACCGCCAGAAATACGGAAGGCCACCCATGTCCTTCTGCACTGGTGGTTGCAGCAAGTCAAATATTGGATCTGGTGCCAACCAGCGTACGCAATGCAGGAGCGCGCCGCGTCCGAAGTGGAAGGCGAGACGCCGGATATGGGAGCGATTGGTTGGTCCTAATTGCCACAAGAAATTTGTAGTTCCTGTGAGTCCGAAGTGGAAGGCGGTTCGATGGAGAATGTACGGCTGCATTGTACTTGTGATGGTGGGAGAAATGCGAAGGAGGGTCGAGAAACTGATGGGTGATTTGGCGTGTTTCGATGGCAATCGGTAGCTGATTTCAGGTAAAAGGTCGTAATTTCGGGACAGTCCCGCGGCAGTCATCAAGATCATTTCTTGAAGTTCTTGAGGTAGACGAAGGAATGGATGGAATAAGGGTTGAATGTTGACTGTGTCTTCTGGAGCCGGTTGGGGGTCAAGAGCTTGTGAGTGCGTAGGAAATACGCGCTCTGCTTTGCCTGAGACGGTGCTGGCACTGAGGCTGGTATTTTTGATTGCAAGACGCGTGAAGTAGAGATTGTTGAGATATTCACGGGCAGAGAGCCAGCCCGAACCGCAGCGGACAACGAGTTTATAATAGTTGCTCGGAGGAATGGATTTGACCTGCGAAGTTGGCTGGGCCATGTCGTCTTCAGTGAATGTGAATGGACACGTGCCCTCTTCCCACTCTGTAAACGCTTCTCTACTTTCAAAAGGGTCCATATCACCTCTTTGCGCCTGCCTTATCATACTAGCTTTCTTACTCTTCCTCTTACCCATTTGCGGGCTAAAAAGTCTGACAACGATCTTCTTCCTACAGTTCTTGAAGTTCGAATCTGTAAGCACGCACTGCACGCTCTTACCCAAATCCAAATCCTCTCTCCTACGCGGATCGGGAGGCAATAAACTGAGCTTCCCCTGGAAATGCGCGCTTGAATCGTGGCCCATGGACCATTGTTTCAAATGTTGGATGAATATTTTTCGCTGCTGCGCCTGAACCCAATGCTGGTTGACGGGGCTACGAGGCGACTTGGTGGGAGGTGAAGGGGTGTTTTTGCTGGGCGACACCAAAGGAACTGGTGGGGAATTTAAGGGTGTGGTAGTATGACCCTTGTCGATGGTAATAGGCGTGCGAACCATGCTGACTATGCCTTGAGGAGATGAAACAACGTTGAAAAATGGTGGCGGTCCAGGTCAGTTGAGGTATGTTTTAGTCTGGTGAGATGTCTTGGTTCACGATCGGTAAAGAGATGGTCTGGTGATAAGCGTCACAAGTGAAGAGTCCGGTAACGGCTCTAATTAGCGCTGGTTTCACCGCTCGCAAGCGAAAACAAGGGCACCGTCTGTATTGCGACGTGTACTAGTCAATCATACACGGCGTGGTGTTGAACGGAGGCGTTTGGGTGGTGATGCAGATGGCCAAACGAAGCAAGCAAGCAAGCACGCAAGCACGCAAGCACGCAAGCACGCAAGCGGAGTTGCGAGAGGGTTGTTGGAGATGGGGCGAACAGCAGGGCGTGACTCTGACCGGACAAGGAAGGAGACTTGGAAACGATCCACCTCAATGACGAAACCCGTCCGGCGGAGGCAAAATACTTAGCTGTCAAACTGAAGTTGTGTGCACGTCAATCTGGGTAGGGGACAGACCTAATGATGTACCGGCCGAGCCGGACAGGATTTGGTGAGATGCACTATGTACCATGACGAACGCAGATGTGGAGAAGTGGCCCGTCGCCAGCAGTAGCCGCTAGCCTGCAACGAGATAGCACGTGCCACCTCTACATGGACTCAGTCTATGTGTATGTAGGCGTAGCTGCCATCACCTGCAAGTGCCACAGCCCGTCTCCCAAGAGTGGGTTGTGAGAAGAAATTCCATTTCGTGCGTGGCCATGGTGCCGGGTATCGTATCCCAAAGTACACAAGAATAAAACGCCGCCAAGTGAATAGTGTTTCTGTAAGCCATTAGGCTCTTCCCTCTAGCCAGCTCGCAGCCCGCTCTAGAAGCCCATTGAGGCCTTTGACATTGGCCAAAAGCCCACCACCACGCGATCCGACATCCTTCGCTACGCCGTCTAGTAGCATGCTCAGTGGCATGTCTGGACCCTCGTTTTCTCTTCCTTCCTCGCGCGCCTTAGCACGACCATTTTTTATCGCAGCCTCGATAGCGAACAGGTTGTCGCTGAGCGTATTCTGCGCGTCCGCCCTGGCCTTCTCAGCATGGTACTGTGTCTGGATATCGTCCTGCTCCATGGCGATTTCCTGTCTACTGTTCTGGAGGCCGAGCATCTCTTTGCGTAGATCGGCATTGGCGCGTCTCAGCAGCTTTATTTTCTGGAAGTTCGTGCTTAATACGTCGTTAGCATCTTGTAAATCCATCAGCTTTTCATTTAAGCTCTCCTTGAAGGTAATCGACATGTTGATCTGGCTTCGTAGCTCCTTTCGGCTGTCCGAATCCTGCAACTTCTGCAGCTTTTCAGCCATGCGTTTGAGACGATGGTCAATGCTATCTTCTAGGATTGACCGCGTGATGTCTGCCGCAGTAACACCCCTAACTGTAGAGCCTTTTATGCGCATCACCGAGATAGTATGTGTCGGCCCCACAAGCTTTTGCCGCTTGCGGGGTGGTTTTTCCGTTGAAGGCTTAACGCGTGGGGCTTGCTCGGGAGCAGATCGCTTAGGGACGGGTTGAGGGGTGGGTTCCGCTTCTTCTTCTAGCGCAGAATCTCCTTCTCCGGCTGATGCTTCGTGTGCACTGGAGACTTCTACACTATCTCTCTGTCTTGTAGGCTGCGGTGATCGTGCAAATGCCTTGCCACGGGCAGGTGAGAGGTCATCGACAGTTTCACCAGCGATTTCGGTGGTAGGCCCTTTGTTCTTCTTTTTAACAGATTTGCGAATCGCTGGTGTTTCTTGGGGCTCGCTCTCTCGGACATTGGATTCCTCACGAGGGCTGGTACGCTTTACAGATTTCGCCGAAGCCACTGGTGGGGTGTCACTTTCAGGGTGATGCTCATCCGATAATCGCGGTCTGCCACGTCCACGTTTCGCGAGTTGTTGTTCCGTGGCTTGCTCCCCAACATCCCCATTTGCTACATGCACCTCGACTGGCTGTGATGTTGTCAGGATTTCCTGAGTTGATGTTGGCTGCATCTGTGGGGATAGCTCATCGACAGTGATTTCTGTCTCCTCTTGCGGTGTTTGCTGTGGCTGTATTTCACTCCCGACCACGCGCGGCGTAGCCACAGGCATTTGGGGTGAAAGCTCGTCTTCACTCTCATTCTCGGCTGGCGCCGCCGCTGGTGTGTTCAAGTAGGCATCAATTCGGGAGGCCGACTTTCTTGGTTGTCCGCTCGGGAGTAGACTAGGAGTTTCCGGGACAGGATCGGTTGACTTGGATCGTCTTGATATGGAGCGCCGTGACCTTGCTGATGTTGTCCCATTTGTGCCTGTGGTCGGTGTCTTTTGCCTTGCGCTTCCGGAGAGCGCCCGCTGCTGTATCGCTGCTTGAGGTGGTGTCCGTTTCATCACTGTAGATCTAGCGAACACTGCCTCGCGCATATTGCTCGCACCCTCGTCCAGCACCGAGAGCTCATCCGGACCATTGTCCTGTTCCTCACGTGCGGGGGAGGCAGTCCCAACCACTCTCTTGGTCTTTTCGACCGAGCGCGCAATCTCCTCGCGGTTTGGGCTCAGTTCATCCTCTTCTCCTTCAACGATATCCGACTGCGCAGTAGGTGAAGCCCGCTTTCGCTTGCCCAACCGCGGGGTAGCTGTCTTCTCTTTTGGTGAGCTCCTACGTTTTGACGCGCTGCTGCGTTGAAGCGACGCGCTTCTGTGTCGCTGTGCTGAGCCATTCGGGGCACGCGGTGTACTTTGGACTGGGGTTCGACGAGAGGGCGGCAGAGGAGGAAGGGAGGATTGTTTAGCAGGGGCTGCACCGAGAGCGCCGAAACTGAAGCCAAAAGTCGCTTGTACTGAGGAAGGGCTGCAGCTGTCAGCATCCAAGTTGTTGGCTGCATGTCATGACGCCTGTCTTACCCGGCACCGCGCACGCGCTGCTGTCGATGCTCGCGGCGATCTATGGATTTGTCAGCACAAAGACAGAGGGATAAGAATGGCACTATTGTCGCATACCGACGGGCGCCATGGCGATATGTGGTGTAGCAATTCGAATTCGGGGTGGGGTGGGCGAGGCCGCTGTCGTCGCGTGGTGGTGTTATGAGGGTCGACGCGCTGACCATGCATGACCAGGCCCTTGCTTGGCTTCCATCATCCCCGCAATAATTCCGCCCGCTGCCCACGTCTCACAACACAACGACTGCCAGTACATTTCACCATCATGGGCTGGCTATGGGGTACTAAAAACACCCAAACCGGGTCAGATCAGCTCGATCCCTCCCTCCGCGAATTTCTCAACAGAGAAGCCCCTACAGGCCCGGCGCCTTCATTGCCCTCTGTGCCCAAGGAAAAGCCCGCCGATGCGCAAACACCCGCACCCGCACCCGCACCCTCACCGTCGCAATCCCAGGAACAGACCGAATCCTCTAAGCCTCGGGTACCGCCTCAATCCCAATTCCAAGATGGACGCTATGCCCATCTTTGGAAGAACTACACCCCCCAGGACATCCTCAATGACCGCGGAAAGTCGGAGCAAGACCGGCTGCGAGACCTAGTCGACGCCTACAACGACCGCAAAGCCTCCATTGGCCGAGTAGCAATGGAGAACTGTGCACTTGAGTATATGGAGCAGTTTGAATGCTTCCGAAACCCCAAGACGTGGTGGTCCCAGGGCACAATGTGCAGCGCCGAGTCGCGCAAGTTCAACCGCTGCTACGATATGCAGTCCAAGTTCCTCAAGGCCCTGGGCTATATGACCATGGATTCCCGCTCCCCGGAAGAGGATGAGCGGATCCAGATGCACGCCGATAAGCTGTATCAGCGCATGTTGCAGCAAGAAGCAGAGATAGAAAAGGCAAAAGAGGAAGGCCGACCCACCCCAAAGTTTGAAAGCGTCTTGTCCAAACGTAACGTTGTGCAGGCAATGGGCGGTGTATCGCCAACTACCAAGAATGAACAGGTGGCTGAGATTGGAAATCTGAATACTCTAGACGAAAATGAAGTATGGGCCCAAATCAAACCAGAAGCACGGAAAGAATACGAGAAGAAACTTGAGAATCTGTCGCCTGAAGAGCGCGAGATTGAGAGGATGGCTGTAGTAGGGGAGCTGAGGGCCCAAAATGGTGTTGCGAAGCAGCTTGAACAGACATTTATTGAGGAACGAGTGGCTCGCATGAAGAGGAGAGAAGCTGGCCAAGCGACGTTTGGTGATACTATTAAGACGCTGTGGGGATGGGGTTGAACTACAAAAAAGGTATTCATAGATTGTGTTTTGATAATGTGTAGAATTACTCATGACACATACCATAAATCATACAAGACATGTCATCATTTCTACACAGCGGTTCAGCATAGTAGCAGCCTCGCAGCATCTCAAACGCCTGTCACGCCTTCAGCACCACGGATCGAGAAAAGATTTGATATACTAGAGTGATAGAGTTCTACGTATACAGTGGTATGCTTTAAGAAGAATCCGGATTACTATATAATGCCGGCGCGTAGTTGGGTCTCGCAACTGTTGCGCTAATTTGGTGAGGGAAGTTTTCATCCAGACATCTCGGTCCACCGAGAGCTGACGTTGGATACGTGGTACTTGACATGACATGGCTACTGGTTCTCCTATGACTTGAAATATCTCAATAAGAACTACACTAGGCCCGGAGACAACTGTATATTGTTCCAATCGCTTCAAACCACATGTACCGGAATATGTAGGCTGATGTAGAACAGATACGGCATAGTAGTGTATTGGCGAAGTGGGGCGTGTCAAGCTTTGCTTACTTTTCCCGACGTTAATTTTCCTTCTAGAGCGGTCAACCATGTAAGCGCAAGCTGTTACCTGACTGGTGATTTGTGATCCAGCCAAGTCGGACTACTGTAGTAGCACGGTGCGCTTTGAGCAAGGATCTTGTACCTAAAGGAGTCATCATCGCCTGATGAGATCATCCATTTTAGTCCCAACTTTGAACCTTTGAGTTCGAACATCAAAACTTCATTTACGAGTTGCCAACAGTCTGTGTGGATCTTTTCCAATCTAATATTGTGGCAAATATGGAGGAAAATATGGGACCATCTGCTGACGATATGGTCGGCAAACGTTCGGTGCGATGAGCAACCTACGTCTTACCGTTATTCTAACATTTCGGTTGTAGTGCGAATATTGTCGAACGAAAAAAATCCGCTGCGATCGGACTGTGCCGTGCTCAAACTGTAGAATGAGCAAAGACGGTAAGTCTGATGACCAGCAAATCAGTCAGGGTCAAAGACGATTGTCAAGCCTTGTTTGCAGTCTAGCCTTACACCCGGGCTTCCAATACGGTGTATTTTTGTAGTCCGCGGAGGTCCACTAACTAGCCAAGATTGTAAAATAGTTGTGCCTGAACAGAGAACCCCAAAAGTAAGAATCCATTTATCTGGGGAGTAGTGCGTATCCAACCCTGCTTTTGAGTTAGGCATTTGACACTAGGCAGTGAGAAGAAGATAGACCGTCTCGAAAGCCGTCTTGCTGGTATCGAGACTATCCTCGCCAAGATTGCTTCGAAACTGGAGATCAGTGATGCATGCACAGTATTTGATGGGCATGTCGTTCAAACAGAATCGCCATCAACTCCACTCAACGAGAAATCTTCCGTTACCGAGACTGAGGCGACGACACCTACACCCTTTGAAGGCGAGACTGGGATCAATAGGCAATCAGAATATGTGCGAGAATTGCTCGTTCAGGTGGTTGATCAAACACCATCAATGGACCAAAACGCAGAAGTCAAAGCAGCCTTGACAGCACTTGAGGAGCTGGTTGCGCCCAGCAATCATAGAGATGTCTCTCCAAAGCTGAATACTCAGCAATTCACCGACCGATCTGTGGCAAGAATTGACAGCGCAAAGTTAGAGCAGCCCCCCTGGAGTGTGGTGAAGGTTGCCATCAATAAGGCTCTGGGTTGGTAGTCCCTGGTATGGAAATATTTGGATCTGCTAACGCTTACAGAACATCCAACTATGATCTTTACTTCTTTCTTTCCTATCATTGATCCGAAGAATCTCTATGAGGTCATTGAGGATTTTTATTCCAACCCAACCACGTGCACTACTCCACGTCGAATCTTTGCGTGTGGCGTATTGTTCAACATATTTTCAGAATATTCATCGGCACCCTGGAGCGGCACTACCAAGGCGGAGTTGACAAGGTGCGTGGAACTCACTTTTGCCCTTAACTTCCTTATTGGATTATATTAACTATCACTAGATACGCGTCTTCTTGTACGTCGTCTATTGTGATGTAATAAATGTCCGTCATCTAATTGCAGGCGCTCACAGACAAGGCACAGTTGGAGCTCGCCATAAGTCAGCTTGGTATACTCATACCAGCTAGCCATGAAAACATTGTAGCTCTAAGCTTGGGTACGGCTTGCGCAATCGAGATGTGCAAACCGTCACTTGCTTGGATGCTGAATTCCTACGCCGTTGAGCTGTGTCAGAATCTAGGTTACCATCGTTTCGCAACCATGAAGAACGACTCAGAAAAGGAGCGGAGACGCAAAATGAATCTCTTTTGGATGATATATTTCTTCGATAAGGAACTGTCTCTGCGCTTGGGTCGAGCAAGTATCATCCAGGACTGGGATGTGTCGTTGCCCTTCCTTGCCACGAGCGATGCATTGAACAATGGATTCGAAGAGAACGTCATGCTTCCCTATTGGGTCAAAGTTGCCAAAGTTCAAGGACAAACATACGAGAGCTTGTTTAGCGCAGCTGCATTTCTCAATACGCAGACTGAGCGACAGCAAATTGCCATGAGTCTCGTTCGCGCGATGGAACAAGCTTGGCATGAACGAGGTCATGTAGGTATCACTGACTCCACCAATTTAGTAAGCCCCATCGAGACAGAACTACCTCTCAAGCATAAACAAAAACTAGGCAAAAACCGTCGAGATGCTCTGAAACAGGGTGATTGTGACACAGGTCAGTTCCCTTCATCTCTCAACTGGAAACAGGGCTTAAATATTTAGCACTTGTTGATGATGCCGAGGATCTGTTTTTTCACACAGATGTTGTAGTGCATTACTCGACCTGTGCACTTATCCACCGGGCAGCATGTCCAGAGAACACATTGAGCGAGGCATGTCTCGAGGCTTCTCGAGCGGCAATATCAGCACATATGAGGTGTAATGCTCAATTCAACTCAAAAGCCAATACAGAACTTTGGGCAGGGTACATTCACTGGTCCATCCTCCAGGTATGTAGGACGTGGAAATACCTTGATCACTTACTCAGCTTGGGCGACCCGGCTAATATAAATGCAGGCTCCGATCACTCCGTAAGACATTTCTTGAGACATGCAATAGCTCTGATATTGATTTGAACCAGCTTCATCGTCTTGTTTTGCAACGCAATCCAAACCACCAATCGCACTGATCTAGATTCCCTCTCAGACTTCGTCACCAGCCTTGAATCTTGTAAAACTTTCTCTGAGGGCGCGGAAAGGCTGTACAAAATGTGCCTTCTTTTCTTGAAAGTAGCCAAAATTTACATTCAAGCAAAAGAGAAAGAGATCGAGAAGGGTCTGACGTACTCTTTCCCACTCCCAGGACAAGGCATTTTCGACGCGACTTCACCTAGTACCTTGCCAGACTTTAGCACAGTCTCACAATTTGGCCCGCATCTAAGCGCCCTTGGCCTAATGTCCAATACAGACTGGTCGATGGCTAGTTATGTGCCAGATTTGGTATCGGAAGGACAGGAGAACTACGCATCAACTGAAGCCATGGGTTGCACGCAAGACTTTGACGGCGTAGGCATGAGCCAACAAGGCCTGGATGTAAGCCAGAATTTTGTGCAAGACTGGTTCTCAGGATCGCGATATTTGATTAACTTTATGGATTCGGACAACGATACGTGGATGTCTGACATGAACAACCCGGGTTTCTGATTGATATTACGGGGCTTTACCTTTCTTCTCTCCACTCAATTTAGCAAATCAGGGATCTGGCTAGAGTCTTTTTTTGAACCTTTCTGAAAGGATTTGTGATACAACAACAGATTCATCTTTACATCATAAAAGTCTTGGATGTTGAGGGAAACTCTCAAGCTCATACATTGCCAAAGCTCACAATCCTGTTCGCCCTGCTGTTAGAGTACAGATCATAGTGATAACGCCGAATGATAAGGTAAGAACATGGGGCTAATGCAGGGTCTCACTGATGCTCACCCGAATCCTTTTACTTTAGCTGCAAAGTCTTTTTTAATACTCAATTCCGGCAGGTTAAGGTGTGACCTGCCATTCTTTTCCAAGATTGTTGATCTAATACGCTATATAGCCAACAGAGATAAAAAGAAGGTCAAATCATGCGGTAAGAACTCAAGAAACTGCTTTTCTAGGTATATGATTCGATCCCTAGATTATATCAACCATATAACCTAGAGTAACACTAGAATCACCTCTCAACACCTCAGCATAAGTCCTACTTAAATGTTCATCTCCGCCATCTACGATTTGACCAAGTGTATTGATCAAACTCTCTTTCAAGGGTGCAGAGAATCTCCCGACCCTGCGATAGACACCCTGTCCTTCATCCGAAAGCTTGAGCACTAAGCCTGTGATTACCTTTTGATTTGACTGAACCTCAAATACTGGTAGTAAGAGCCCTTCTTGAATCTTTTCGTCGCCATAATCTGAACAATATTCACTCATCACAAAGCTTCCAGTTACGACTTTGTTGCCCGGTGATCGTAGTGCATTTGCATATCCCCCAAAATCCGCATGATGTAGACCACGACAACGAATTCTCATGGTGGCACTGTTGATCGCTCCGAATGGATCGGATTTAGTGTATCCGATTTTGACATCCACTACGGAAATCAAAGCTGGTAGATGGAGAAGATGTTCATAGTCTGTATCGACTGGTACATCCACAGAGGCCCATGACCAGCTTGGGGCGATGTATGTCTCCGTATTCCAACGTGGTTCTGCCGTATTCCGACGTGGCCCTGGAAACCAGATGAACCAGTACAACTGAGCTTCCAGGTTTTTCCTCCATAGCCCTGCCACATATTGGTCATTTGTTTGCTGCTGTATCTTTCTAGCAAGACTGGAGATGGCGACTAGTTTATCTTTGACATATGTTAATTTGCAGGCGCTATACCTAGCGACGATCTACGGCCACATTGGATCGTCTATTGTTCGTTTATGCAGAAATCCGAGGGGCACCATGGTTCCTCCAGGTAGTCTTTCTGGGAAGCTTTCACAGGCTATGATGTGATTACATTCCCAGAACAGCTCAGTGGTCGTAAAATGCAGAGTAAGCACGGCTAGTAAGCGTTCTTGGAGTGCCCAGCCTCGTTCCATTAGCGACATGCCAGATAAGCATCGCGAATAAAGAGAGACAGGGGCTGCAGAACAAGAAAGGGCGTGATGGCCATTGTATAACTGCAACTTGCAGTTCCAATGGGTGGGCCGAGAAAAAAAGTAGCCGTCTCGTCCATCTCTTGCGCCAGCAGCTGCAATATTGGGACTCGAGTTTCCATGAACGCTCGTCATCATCGCTGCTTCTCTTTCCCAGTCCATGAGGTCATCTTGAACGATACATAGAGTACCCACCCAAATGTACTCGAACCCCAGATCATGCGCTACCGTGATGGCATCTTGCACTGTACGTGGGAGATCTTCACTTGGTATCTGGGTTTTTAGTTGCTGCAGATTGCTCTTACTTAGGGTAAGATATTTAGTGCTTCCCCAACAGTGACTGAGTGTCGCATATTCGACTCCAGCATTCAACTCATCTCGCTGGTAGACACGGCACTGTCCCATGGTAGCGCCAACCAGCCGCGTAGGTATGTATTTTGATGCATGATTTTGGCATTTTTCATGTTTTGAAGAACACTCTCGTAGCCATTCTTTAGCTATAGGAATTGAGGATTTCGTGTTTTGTGCTTCCTGTTCTTTTGCAGGTGGCACAGTGACTTTTGGAGAAGGTAAGCGAAGAGCATACAACAATATGACGTTTGTACGTACATGGCTTGGGTGATGGGTCTATAGTAATGCTGTATGTTATGACCCTGCCTTCTCGCCAATCAAATACCTGGAACTTCAGTTCGAATCGTAGGAAGTCCTCTCATATAGGAATATTCGGGCCACGAAAATTACCAGAGTGGACATTTACGCCCAGTGACTGATATGTTTTGAGCGGAGATATCCCCACATCATCGTCAAAAACGATCGGAAATAGGGTTGACCCATCTCTCCAAAACTGATAACAAAGTGAGCAGTTGGATTCTGTGGCCCGTTCAAGTTCCGCAGGTGTTTGGTGATGAGGGAAGCAGTGACTTTTGTTTTGTTGCCATCGATCCCAGTTGTCAAACATAGACTGGCAATGAGTAGATAGTTTAGACAATGCAGAATCAAGCCGAATATTTCCGTTTGAAAAGTCGAGCTTGCTCCCAGTATCCTCGGTCATTTTTGAAGCATGAAAAATAATAGGAGCTAATACACTTTAGAAGACGCCGACCAGATATCGTTGTGGTAGCGGTTTCGTCTGCGTTCCTGAGGAGGCATGGGGGCTAGAAGGCGGGGCCGGTACCCGGCCGAACGCAACAAGAACATAGCCACCAACAATAGAAAGGTCAGGCTTTACAAGATACTAATGAAAACACACATTTGAAAGCCCTTTGGTATTCGAGTTTGGATCATAGCTATGTCTCTCATAGCGACTGCACTGTTTTCATTCCAATCACCCATATGAAGCGTGTGATAAATCACCGCTAGTAGTCACTACCCTAAACATCGCATGTAAAGCGTGTCCAGGTCAGCGCGAAACAGACGTTCGACTCGATTGAACTGTCAAGTGGAATTGAAGAGATGCTTCAATTGTAGTGACGGAAGGTAGTACGCCTGACTCAGCATGCCCCTCCGGCCTCGAAAGCTACCCCGCCACTGATTGTATCAGCACACCTGAAGGACAACAACAGCTTCATCTGCCATCATGACCGATCTAAACGCACAGCAGGCTGAGAATCACTACTTTGATAACGAGCCCCCGCCAAAGGACCTCAAGGCGAACATAACCCTTGCGAGAGAATTCATCACACGCCATAACGATGACCACCGCCGCGTGGTGCTGGTCACTTCCGGCGGCACCACGGTGCCATTAGAACAACAGACTGTGCGCTACATCGACAACTTTTCTGCTGGTACACGCGGAGCTACCAGTGCCGAGTATTTCCTCCAAAATGGTTATGCTGTCATCTTCTTGCACAGGCAGTTCTCGCTCTTGCCCTACTCAAGACACTATTCACATAACACACGCTCTTTTCTGGACTACATGAAGGAAGAAAACGGCCAGGTCGTGGTGGACGAACAACACCAGGACCAAATGCTACGCGTCTTGCGCCAGTATACCGAGGTCAAGCGTGGAAACAAATTGTTGATCCTGTCCTACGTAACAATCACCGAGTACCTGTGGAATTTGCGCGAGGTTGCACAACTCATGCGTCCACTCGGTCCAAAAGCCATGTTCTACCTGGCTGCTGCTGTGTCCGACTTCTTTGTACCCCAGGACCGCATGGTCGAGCACAAGATACAATCGAATGAAGAGTTCCATCAAGGCGCAGTCGGCGTAACCGAAAGCCATGCAAAACCTCCAGCGGCGCGCACTCAAGGCAAAAGTCTCATCATTGATCTCGAGCCGGTTCCCAAGTTTCTAAAACAGCTTGTGGACGGTTGGGCACCGGAAGCAATGATTGTAAGCTTCAAGCTTGAGACTGATCCTTCGCTACTCGTCACGAAGGCCAAGTATGCGTTGAATAAATACTCACACCACCTCGTCATTGGAAATTTACTGCTCACTCGCAAATGGGAAGTCGTGTTTGTATCAGTTTTTGAAGGCGAGAAATGGATAAGAGTACCCACAAGCCGTAGGACAAAAAGTTTGTCAGGCAGACCGTCACTTGTGGGATCTGCTGATCAGCTGGCAAAGAAGGACGACGATGCGGGTGGGTCAATTGCCACCGAACGGGGTATCCCGCAGGGCGAGCCCTCTGTGGAGATCGAGTCTTTGATTATTCCCGAAATCGAGTCCATGCATAGCAAGCTCATAGAACGAGCTCAAAAGGGAGCTGCAGCTTCTTAGCAATGACACACCCCACATCCAGTAAGCATCTCATCTCACCATCTATAACGTTGGTATGGATACCATCTAGAAAAAACTGCATCTCTATATACTTGTTCGTTATGCATCTCATGTACACATTACAATTTCAGAACCGCTCCCTTCACTCTAGGATGACCTTCCATTGTGCCACCGCATGCCGTGCACCTGCTCCATACTGGATGAGCAGTAGTGCTCCTATGGTCACAATTCCAGCGAATACACCGGCCATTGTGCCGAAGGCATTGACATAGCCAACGTCAACGACCCAAGGCACTACGCCGTACAAGAAACCAAAAGCCACGATATTCTTCAACCCATTGATGAGCAACATGACATCCGAGTTGACTGGCAGTGCACAATCACTAGCATATGCCAAAGTAATTGTAGGAATGGCAGTCAGCGAGACCGAGATCATTCCATAGCCGAAAAAGAGCGATACCCACGACAGCGCATTCTGCACACCATAACCAAACAGAACACTACCCGCAGTAGTAAGCACGAGCGGAATGACTATCAGATAAAGTCTGCTTTCGGGCTCATAAATGCCAAGGTGCTTCCTGGTCCGCCATTTGCACCAAATGTCTACGAGGTCACCTAGATGCGATTAGGATATCCTGCAGTGGTTCAATTTAGGTTCCCTTACCTCCAGCCCATGATCCAAACACATTGCCTAGGATGCCAGGAATGTTGATAAGGCCATTAATCTGTACGTTCCAGTTGTACGGCGGTGCCTGCAGAACAAAGGGATTGAGGATGTTGACTGCGACTGTAAGGACTAAGGAGATTGAGTAACAAAGAAATGCATAGATGGCTGCTGGATATATGATCATTGGAAACGGTCTTCTAGACGTCAGCTGAATGCACAGCCCTTCTCGACTACAACTTACCGCACAAACATCTTGGCCAGATTGGTTTCAGAAACCCCAGACCATAAGCCGAGATCCTGTTTCCATGTCTTTTTCGGCAACTGCTCCAGTGGTGTTCCGGGGGATGGCGCCTGGGGCAACTTCTCATCAGCCATGACGACTTTTTCGTTTGAAGGCAAGAGGACCGTGTTGACTTGGCCAACTTCGCGCATGTATCTGGTTTCTGGCACGAAGAAAAGGATCGTTAAGAAATTTAATCCTGTAAAGATTGCAGATATCCATTTCTGCCATCGCCAGGACAAATTGGAAACAATGAAGCCACAAATCAGGGGACCAAAGGTATTTCCGCCTGCTATAGCGTTCCTGGTGCATGTCAGACCTTTTTGAGACCATCCAAGGACAGGAAGAACGTGCTTACATGTATATTCCCATCTTGCTACCCCGCTCATGCAAAAAGTATAGATCCTAGACGGCATATGGGTTAGAGGCAAAACAAGAGCATGCATCGGTGCGTAAGACAAGACGAGAAACCCACATTCACTGTAGCCGCACCCAACGCCTCGGTTGAAGACCCGGCAAATGCTGCGATGATGTTGCTGCATAGCACGCTTTCGAATGAGGTTGCAACAGCACCCCACACATAACAGAGACAAAGCAAGCCACTTGCTAGAACAAAGACTGGTCGTTTACCAAAGTAATTGGCCATTGGCACCCAGAAGAAATTAAAAGCGCCAAGGACCAAGATTGGGTAGGTAAGCAAGTGCGAGGTTTCGTCCATTGTCTTGTTGAACTCAATGGACATGATGTAAAACGCTGGCGCTATGCCACCGATACCGAAATTGGTCAGAAATGTAAATGCGCACACTGATGCGAATGCAACATGTTTCTTCGACAGCGGCCAACGCAGAGGATCATTTGGGTCTGTTGGAGAGGGCTGTGGGTACAAGAGTATGTTTGATGAAGGCACTTCGCTAGTGGCTACGATAATTGTCAATCCCCACGTCGAAGTTGTTGGGACATCAACCTACTCTGCTGTAACAACACCGTACCGTCCGTCTGATCCAGGTCCCTCAGCCGCGTGAAGCGCATGTTTGTGAAGCGTTTGCTACCACGCTTTCCGAATTAGTTCGGATAAGAAGAAGATACCCGAGACCGAAAGGAGTAATTTGAGTAAATTTAGCTCTCTGTCCTCTCTGCTATTAGTGACATGGAAAACGATCTTGGAGTACGCAAGCATGGTGAGCTATGGCCAGACGCAGGACTATATAATGTTTTGGCCTTATCAACTCAGCGCCCCGTGGTTCGCAAGACGCATCTCACTTTCTCCAAGACTCTAGCAAGTTGCGTGTCGATATGCTTAGTGTTTTTGTTTCGGTTCGTGTGGTTGGCTGGATAATGGCGTACAGCTTGCAGCATGCGTGAGTGTCGGGGGGTGCGGGGCCGGTTGCCAATCCCGTACTTGTTGTCGATCGACGGCTAGTCTAGGATGATGGGTGCCAGTGCAGAGTACATTCCACGGTTGTTCGTCAAAAGCAACTCTGGATGCAATTCCAAACACAAAAGGGGTAGGAAGAGGGTCATGGGAAATGTAGCCTCGAAACCTGGTCGCCAGCTATTGTGTACGGATGCATAGGCCTCACAACGTCCTGGGAGCGATGCCATCACTGTCAACAGTCGAAGTCGCGCAAGCCCGTCCGTGGCATGTTTGACTGATTTTCACCATCAGACCATCTGTGCTCTGCTTGTGGCGTCCAGAGGCGCAGTTCATCGCTGTATGAGATTGGAAACTTGCTCTGTCAAAGACAACGAGGAGACGAGTCTTTATCGTTATGGTGAAAGCGCCAGCACGACGCAGTCATGCTCAGTCATGCTCAGTACCTGTAAACAGGCGATATGCGACAAGTCACCTGCATATCCCAGCCGCCAGAGTTATTACTGCATGGTTGCGTGCCATCCCGTCCCAGTTCGGTAAGTTGCTGGGCTCACTAGCGTCAATGCCGCGGAACTTCTACGTTCCAACACTGACCCTTCATCTCTTTCCCCCGACTAGCTCATTAACTGCCAGAACTGCAGCCCAGAAGACCGATCAAACATCTACGTTACTATCATTCAACAACCGCCAGTTGAGGTGGCGTTCGTACTGCGGCCGGTGCTGAGACGATCTGAAATCTCTCCACGGATAACACCATGTGCAACGTCGGGCGCAGTCCTGAACATTGCGTCTGTTGCACAAGGTGTCGGGTCGGCGACCGGACTTCCTAATGTTCACAGTAGCCGGCCCTGCTGTGGAGATGCTGGCGTTTGTATCTGTCGCAATCCCTGCTTTTTCGTCACTTCCAAAGCTCACTGTCAATCTGCAGTATACGGGCTTTGTTCCTGACGACTAGAGAACTTCCTCGACAGCCAAGAATAACGAATAGTCACACCTTTATAATGTTGTGGCACAACTACCAGACCCATTCCGATGCTCCAGGTGTACAGCCGTAGCAGTACAAAGGGGTTTGAACAACAATGACCCTCGCCGGTAGTCGAATTGAGCAAATCTTATGCCGCCCTTCTGGTTTCCCAGGACATCCAACAGGGCGGCCACCGCGGCGGCTAACGTGCGCTGCAAATCATGCTGCACAGCGGACATGTAGTCAGATCCTAATAGTGTTTCTCGACATATGTCATGGTGCAAGAGGCATGTTGACAAGACAGTGCGCCTTAGTTGTGCTTTTTTCTTGCCCCGAATCCTGCTACATTGGGCCACAAATGACGCCTTGGGTTCCTTTACGGGGCGCAAACTGGACATGGCACATCGCATCTTGCCCTGAGTGACCAAAGACACCTCGATACATCACGGGCGCTACGTATTCATCGAGGGAACATCAATAGAGCACAGCACTAACCGAGTTGTGGGGGCGGTACAGGGTAACACCTTCTACGATTTGTCCCTAGACTATTCTCGAGGCTCCCAATTTCCGGGATTGGCTGGTATTGTGGCTTGTTTTGGTGGGACCATTCTACTTGATAAACAAGGTGTCTCACCTCTTGGCTCCAGCATATTGAACATGTGCAACCATTTCTTGTGCGCAGAACCGAGTCTCTTGTTAAGGATCTTCTGCACTGATAGGTTCCCGCCTATCCCTCTCGCCCTACTGCCTACCATCATCTTACCTCTCTCTTTTGTGTCTGATTATATCACAAGAAATGGACGCCTCAACAATGCCAAAGGATGCGCCACAGCAGTCCCAGCCTACACCAGGAGCAGCGTCGCCTCCGAAGAGCCCTCGGTCATCCTGTTCACCATCCAAGACAGCCGAGTTATGGGACGGCTATGAAAGACTCGCTGTTGAAAAGGCAAAAGAAAGAGACGAGCTGATGCATGAAACGCATGAACGGAACGACTGCTCAACTTCACGAACAAGTTTTGATTTTAGGTTTAAGCGGGCGCAAACTACGATTCCATCTACTACAACGCCTGGTTGCAAATCTTGCGGGCGTCCCATCATATACGCCTCTGGTATGTGCGAAGGTTGCTTCAAACGCACTGTGGTTTCACCTGGTAATGAAGAGATTGTAACAACTCTCGGTGTTGCTGGACACAACATGGCCGTTTCAGGCCTTTGCCAGATTCCTTCAAGAGAGGAAATCATCACACCAACATACGCCTCACCCAAGCGCGCATCGTTCTGTCCACTACCAGGACACCTGACCGACGCCTCGACACGCACCTCGTCCACACAGGCAGGATCTGTGGGCCGTAGAAAGAAATCGCCCAGCGAACCTACGCAGCCAAGTCTCCAACTACAAATCACACCATCAACGTATACCTCGCGCTCGCAGGCCAACTCACCTCCGATGACACCAACATCACCACCAAGCACCGCGCACTCGGTGAGCTCGATGCGGCGGTCAAGTCTAGCCAACGTGACTATGCTGCCCAAGCTTCGCTATCCGCATTCACGCAACGATAGCGGCACCCCGTCTGAGTTCAGCACGCTCTACCAAACCGTGTCGACGACGACGACGCCACCAGCCAGTCTGCACCGGTTCGGGTACCCGCTGCAAAACACGACGAGCGCATGGGACGACTGGGACAGCGACGAGGGAGAAGAACAAGGCGAAGAAGAAGAGCGCCCAGGCCTATCGTCGTGGATGGGACGCCGCAAGATACGGAGCCGCAATGGTGGCGGAGCCGGTGGTGTCGGTGGTGGTGGCGGCGGCGCAAAAACCAGTATGGATCAGTGCGACAGCGCTGGCGAGGAGGCCCGGGAGAGGATGACGATGGCGCGCAAGAGTAGAGATGAGCGCGTGGAGCAGACAAGGGTTGAGTCTGTGGGAGGGACGAGTGTGCGTGTTGAGCGGCTTGTTGAACCGAGTCGAGATGGCAAGGTGAAGAAGCCGAGTGGGTTTGTGAGGGCGTTGAGTTGCGGATGTGGTACTGTTGAGTGAGGAGCTCTCTCTTTTTTTTCTTATCTTTCTCTCTCTCTCTCTCTTTCTCTCTTTCCTTCTTTTATCTTCTTCTTCTCCTTTTCTTTTGTTACACACGATTACTTTTACCGTTCTTCGGGCTTTTTTTTTCTTCCCTTTGTCTTGGGTAGGGGGTGGAGGGGTGGAGGCTACTTCTTTTTATTTTCCTATGTCATCGGCGTTCGGAGGATACAAGGTATGGGAGGAACAACTCTTCTTGGATATATACCCTCATTGTGTAGTGGTGTGTGTGTGTGTTGGAAGGAGTACACGTAGAGTGGTGTTTTTCTTTCTTTCTCTTAACCCCAGGCTTGGGGAAGTGTGGGTCATTTTGTATTACTATTATTACCTTTATTATTGTCGATGTTATTACCTATACATACTTCTATTATTACGCTAGGAGGGCTTGTATACCCCGGGGGGAGGGAGGGGGGTTCAGTTTACTTGGTAGAAATATCATGTGATTAAAATGCCTAAACAAGGTAAACCCCAGGTGTTCATTCAGCAGGACGAAGGGCTGAAGGGAAGGGGGGGGGGGAGGGGACGCGTGGATTATCATTTGCCTTTGGCGGCGATGGACAAAAAAGCACGGATGTCCAATAGGTAAGTAAGTAATATGCACCCCTGAACTTTACTTGTGTATGCAACCGTTCCCCCCTCAGTCTCAAGCGTCTTTAGAGTTTACCGCCTCGCCGAACTATGCACACACACACACACACACGCACTCACAGATACTCACGTGTGAATGGGTTTTACCTGCCCCCTTTCTTTTTTTTCCCTTTCGTATATCACCAACACGAGTCGTCGGGTCGGGGGCTTGGTTTATTCACCCTTTTTCCCTTTTGCTACTATGCATGTATGTGTGTGTGTGCATATCACATATCGGGAGAAAAAAAAAGAATACGATCTGCGATTGTCGTGACCAATAGGTTACAGCGGGTATGCAAGCATCCACCCATCCACCGGCAATCGATGTGGGTAGTTTGTACACCAAGAAGAGGGGGGGGGGGGAAATCAAACTCTCTTTTCCTCCTCCTCCTCATCATCATTAGTATTATTCTTATAATTATTATTATTGTTATTATCATCACGAGATCAATATTTACCAAGGAACGCCGCAGAAAAAAAGGGGATCTACACTGCGGCTGAGCGAGCGACAAGAATAAAATAAAAAAGAGTTGCCGCGCAGTGCCGAAAGTAGTACCAAGTAGGGGAGGACGAGCCAGCGAACATGTGTGGAAAGCGAGGGCGGAAGAGAGGAAGAGAGAGAGAGAGAGGTGGCTCCACCAGAGAGTGGGAATAATAATTTAGCTTCTCGTATTTGCCGAATGTGTTACTAAGTAGGAGGCAGAATCGGGGAATGGGGAGGGAACAAGTGTTCGTGGCCTTTTTTTATTATTCACAGAATCATTTTTTTGTTGATTTTTCTTCGAGTTTTGGGTTTGATTTGATTGTTTGGTGGCGCAGCTCAGCTAACGCGAACAAGCTTTTTTTCGCGGGGGAGGGGAGGGGGAGGCGCAATCGGCTGTTGTTGTTGTTGGATTGTGGTGGCTGGACGCAGATGGGGGATAGTGAGAGGCGGGTCGGGCGTGGCTTGAAGGAAGAAGTGCTTATACAGGGGACGCGCGGGCGGGGGTGTCAAACGCCTAAAATGCCTTGAGGTGTTTAAAAAAAGGGCTGGTGTAAGCGGGATTTCTTGGTGGACGGGTGGTCGGCGGCGGGCCGATGGCAGGGTGAGTGGCTGGTAGAGTTTGGTAAGGTGAGGAAGAGGGCACGGGGCAGGTGTGCGTAGTTTTGTACTAAGTACATGTGTAAGTAGCGCAGGACAGGACAGGACAGGAGAGGCAGAGAGAGAGAGAGAGAGAGAGAGAGAAAGAGGAGCAAGAGTATTTTGTCAGGCGGGCATCAGGCGACTAGTACCTAGACAGGAAGTGGGTGAAAGCACGAAGCCAAGGAAAGAAGGACGGGGAGAGGGCCTGCAGGGCGCGATGGAAGCGTCACAGAAGCATCTCGTCGGGCTTTCTGGGGGCATCGGCCAAATTTCCATGTGTTGTTGCGGGTATGCGGCCTGGATGGAAATAACCAAAGGGCTGGACAGATCAAACAGCTGTGGGGCTGGACAGGCAGCCAGACTTGGCAAGGCGTGTATTGTTTGCATGTTGGAATTTGCGGCCCCAAGGCCAATTTCCCAGGTACGAAGTTTCACCTGATGCAACTTGTGAGGCTGCCAGGCTTTGCATCATAGTGCTGACACGATCGACCGACGGGCGAAGGTGGTGCATGTCACTAGGCTTATAGCAACCAACTAAGTATATGCGGGAGGAGACTATTGTATTTTGTTGCGCTCAGGCCACTAGTCGGAAAGCATCGTCGTGGTTCATGCTGGAATCCGGCAATTGGCGGAGCTGAAGTGTAGGGACAGCGCAGCAGGACAGCCAGCACACGACAGGACAGCGCATGGCCAGATTGCAAGTGCTACTACTACCACTACTACTCACTTGGCTTGCTCCCGGGCAGTGGCAGTGGATGTCGGCGCCGAAGCAAAGGGAATTGTTGTTACGTGAGTGACAATGCGAAGAGGAGAGGCAGAAAGTCTTGGAGGCTTGGAGTTGGTCGCAGGTGTCTGGTCAGGGGCAGGATGTCGGCGCTAGTCCCAAAGGAGAAGGGGCAGTGGCAAGGCGGGCCATGTGATTGGCCCGGGGCGCAATCTCTGCAGTTGCATTTTGCATGCGGGAGAAGCTTAGCTAGGAAGCGAAAGGCTTGAGTGCAGCCGACCGGCTTGGTGACAGCGCACCGCCGTTGCAGCCGAACAGACAGCCTCGCCCGCTCAAAGGAGGATTGCGGTTGTTGCGGTTGTTGTTGTTTTTATTGTTGCTATTGTTGTACACACAACCCAGTCGCGTACAATGTCCATGTCACCTCTCGTACGACGGAAAAGGACAAGCTGCTTACCCTTCCCCCACACGAGGGTCGTCTGCCCGGCCCAGCAGCTGCCGCTTTCCGTCGCTGTGGGCGTCGTCAGCCAATCCCTGCGCCCAGAAATAGAAAGCCCACACGCCCACCCCCGGCCATGATCCAACCACGACGCGGGCCCCTTAAGGCTGCACGGCAACCTGCCCTCGATACCGTCATTGGCCCGCGCCTCCAGATGGCCGGTCCTGTCTGTCCTTGCCCGACCGGCCTTCACTCGCCGCCCAGCCCATGACTAACCTAGCTCACCTGTCCTCGTATATCCCGTTTCCTCCACAGCTACTTGAGCCCTCGCCCGCCCGCCTACAATCCCCTCCACCTCGTCCTTCGTTTGTCAACCACACTCGTTCCCCCAGGACAGCTGTCACTCGTTTCCAGCGTCCACCCCCCCGACCGCATCCTACCAGTCCTGGTATCATTATCCCTCTTAACAATAATTACTAATTCTTCTGGACTGCTTCGATGTAAGTGCTTTCTTTTATGAGCACCCTCCTTCCCTCCCTCCCCCCGGTACACGAAACATGTTCGTTGCCTGCTCTCGCTGGATTCTGGGCACAGGAACATGTTTGGTATCATCGGGCATTTGTGTTTCATTCCAAACAAGTCATGTGTGTGTGTGTGTGTTGAAGATTGCATGTCTTCTGATCACACACCCACACACATGACCACTACCCTATCCATCTCGAACCACTACAGCACGGCCCCTCACGCAGTGCCTGCGACTCAATGGTTTTTTGCATTGGTCCTTTGTCACCACCGTCTCCATGGCCACCTGATTGCTTTATGTTGCATTGGCTAACGCGCGCTACTCTAGCCTAGTCACAACCATGAGGTCTTCGGTTTACGGCCTTGGCCTGCTCGTTGGTGCGGCCTCGGCCAACATCAACTTCTTCTGGGTCAACCCCACCTGCAACTACACTGACCCCACTGCTCACACCTGCTTGACTGGCCAGCACTGCATAGAGAACAACACGTGAGTCTATCCATCCCCTCCCCATCGACAACCCCCCCCCATCTAATAACGCCTTGCAGTTGTGTTCCAGATGATGCCAGCCCCTACTCCAAGGTTGTATCCCGCTCTACTTTGCTTTTCGCTCCTACCAAGAGGCAAAACAACAAGTACTCCCAGGATGGCAAGTGCGGTCCTCAAAACGGCAATTTGCTCTGCGACCCCAACAGCACAGTCTACACGGGCACTTGCTGCTCCGAGTACGGCTGGTGCGGCAACACCGCAGCCCACTGCTCAAAGGGCTGCCAGTCTGGTTGCGACAATGCCGCCAAACCCTCTACTGCCGCCACCCCTTCCAACTCTGCCGCCCGGGACGACGGCCGCTGTGGAAAGGACTTTGGCGGCGCTACCTGCGATGCCAAGGGCGCTTACGGTGGCTGCTGCTCTGAGTACGGATACTGCGGTAGCACTGACGGTCACTGCCTCAAGGCCAATGGCTGCCAGAATGGCTGCAAGGATGGCACTCCTCAAAACGATCCTAAGCCTACTACCGCCACCGTTACCCGCCCTCCCTCGACCACCACCTCTGGCGAGCCTGTACTAGGAAAGCCAACCACCCCCAGCAACCCCAATGGAATCCCCACTACTGATGGAAGCTGCGGTGCCAAGTTCGGCAACACTGTTTGCGGAAGCTGGGCCCAAGGCAGCTGCTGCAGCATGTACGGCTACTGTGGTAACACAACTGCTCACTGTGGTGAAGGTTGCCAGAGCGGTCCTTGCAACCAAGCTCCTACTGTCCCTGCCCCCGGTGCCAGCCCGGCGCCTGTTGCTGCTAAGCCCGGAAGCATTGCCCTCAAGGGCCGATCCGGTGTCCCTGCTATGCACGCTGGTCTCATGCCCAACGGTCGTGTTGTCTTCCTTGACAAGGTTGAGAACTACACTGAACTCAAGCTTCCCAACGGCCAGTACGCCTACTCCTCCGAGTGGGACCCCGTCACCGGCCAGTTGGTTCCCCTTGCCTACAAGACCAATGCCTTCTGCTCTGGTGGTATCTTCCTTGCTGACGGTCGCTTCGTCTCCCTCGGTGGAAATGCTCCTCTTGACTTCATTGACCCTACTGTTGGTGATGGTTTCAAGGGTATCCGTTACCTCGAGCGCTCCTCCACTGATGCTTCCAAGAACGGAAAGGCCTGGGTCGAGCCTGGTCAGCTTCTCGATACTCCCCGCTGGTACGCCTCCGTCCAGATCATGCCCGACGACTCCATCTTTGTCGCATCTGGCTCCAAGAACGGCCTCGACCCCAGCAAGCCCGAGAACAACAACCCCACCTACGAAATCCTGAACTCCGACGGTACTCCTCGTGGCAAGAGCTACAACATGGAGATTCTGAGCAAGAACCAGCCCTACTACATGTACCCCTTCATGCACTTGTTGAAGGATGGCAACGTTTTCGTCGCCGTCTCCAAGTCCGCTGAGATCTTCAAGGTCGAGACTGGCACCGTTGTCCGCATGATGCCCGACCTCCCCGGTACCTACCGCACTTACCCCAACACTGGTGGATCCGTCATGCTTCCTCTGTCCAGCGCCAACAACTGGAACGCTGATATCATCATCTGCGGTGGTGGTCCTTACCAAGACATTACTGCTCCTGGCGACGCTTCCTGCGGCCGCATCAGGCCTCTTGATGCCAACCCACAGTGGGAGATGGACTCTATGCCTGAGGGCCGTGGTATGGTTGAGGGTACTCTCCTTCCCGACGGTACCGTCGTCTGGGTCAACGGTGCTCAAGAGGGTGCCCAGGGTTTCGGTGTTGCTCGCGATCCTGCTCTTGAGGTCCTTCTCTATGACCCCAACCAGCCCAAGGGCAAGCGCTTCACCACCGGTCCCAAGTCCACCATTGCTCGTCTCTACCACAGTGTTGCCCTTCTCCTCCTTGACGGTACTCTGCTCATCTCCGGCTCCAACCCCGTTGAGCAGCCCATCCTCAAGCCTGACGCTAAGAACCCTTACGTCACCGAGTTCCGCAACGAGATCTACACTCCTCCTTACCTCCAGGGCAACCCTACCCGTCCTTCCAACGTCCAGATCTCCAGCAAGAACCTCAAGGTCAACACTACCTTCAACATCAAGTTCACTGCTCCCGCCAACGCCAAGGCAGTCAAGGTCACCCTCTACTACGGTGGATTCGTTACCCACTCTCTCCACATGGGTCACCGCATGGCCTTCCTCGACACCACCGGCTTCAAGGCCGGCGCCACTGCCCAGAGCATCACCGTCACCATGCCTCCCAACAAGGCCATTGCTCCTGCTGGTCCTTATGTCATCTACGTCCTTGTCGATGGCGTCCCTGCCATGGGCCAGTTCGTCCAGGTCTCATAAGTTGGTGATGACTGAACTAAGGGTGTGGTGTGTGTTTCTCTTTACTCCTTCTTGTAAATGTAGAGGAAAGGGGGTGGACAAGAAGAGATGGAAATCTATGAGCAAAATGTCGTATTGTACCAGGTCTTGGATGCTTTGAGGATTATCCCATATATATGCGCCCCTCGCCTCATTTTTTTTTAATTCTTCTCTCTTCTTTTGCACAGCCCAACAAGATGTCTTCTTTTGGGAGTGCGCAGATTAGAATTTCCATAGAGGCATGATTGTTCCGCTTTGCAAATAAGCATGACAATGACAATGATGTCGAAGATTGAAGAAACAAATGAAATTTGATAAAGTAACTTGACTTGTTGAAGTATGTGATTGATTTTTTGAAAGCTGTGTTTATGATTGAGAGTGGTGATTATGCAACATCTGTGTCCCATCTCTCCTCCTCCCCTTTTGCCATTCATCCATCCATCCCGTGCTACATTCTTCCTCTTCTCAACTACATCATCTCCAAACACGAATATCATTGTATAAACAAGACATTACGTTTCCCTAAAAAGAAAAGAGAAGAGAGAAGTAGAAGTAGAGAGAAAAAAAAGTCCCATTTTGAATCCATTTCTCGCAAATGCAAATCAAGCCATGTATCAACATGCCATCCCGTTCACGCCCAAACACCTCCATAGTAGCTGTCCCTTTTCTTCTCTCCCGAAAAAAAAGAGAAAAGAGAGGAACGATGACAACAAGGGCAATGAATATCCAGCTCACTCACTCTTGGTTCCCCACCTGAATCGGCATAACCCTCCCGGAATCCACAATAATCTGCGCATCCAGCTTCAAATCCAAATCCCCATACTCGAGCCTCTTCCATGTCACAATACGCGCTTGATTCGTATCAATCTCGAAAACGCGGAGCCGGCGATGGAAATGGTTGTAGCCGCCATAGCCCCCAAACCCGCTGCCACCGGCATAGCACATCCAGATTTGGGGTTCGCTAGTGCTGGGGTCCTTGGCGAGCGAGCAGTAGTCGTTTACGTGGTCGTGGCCGCACGAGACGGATTTGATGTTGAATTCGACGAGCGCGTCTTTGAAGTGCGTGTTGAAGGCGGGCGCGGTAATGGGTTCGGTCCAGTTGCCTACACGATCATTATCGCGGTCGCCGTATTCGGGGAGGGGGATGTGGATGAAGGCCATGTCGAGGTGCTTGTGCGTGTAGTGGCGGTGGGCTTCTTTGAGACTTTCGGCCGTGGTTTTGAACCATTCGATTTGGTTGGGCTTGATCCAGTCGTAGCCACGGTAGTGGGTTTCGTCGGGTGAGTACGAGTGTGTGTCGAGGAACCAGAGGGTTAGGGCTGAGTGCTTGCTGCTATGCGCTTGGATCTCAACAAAGTAGTTGCCGACGCCGTCAATCGTGTTGGTACCTGCTTCGCTGACGGAGTAGGGTAGAGATTCGTAGAGATCCATTTGTGCGTGGCGCGAGAGGGTGCCTTCATCGTCGTGGTTACCGAAGATGGCGGCGTAGGGTATCTTGCGCTCAGCAAGGGGATCCACAATCTTGAACATGGCCTGCAGCAGTGTCAGTATCACGCATGATGAGTATAGTAGGGAGCTTTTCTCACGCTTTGAACATCTGGAGCCGTGTCTCCGTTGATCTGGTCGCCGGACAAGACAACCATGTCAGGCTTCTCGTCGTCGAGCACTCTCTCGACAAACTCGATTGTTCTAGGATCAGCATCGCAGTGTCCGCCATTTGCGCCTTTGGGCTCTTCGTCCCTACACTTGCCGAGACCAGTGCTGAGATGCAAGTCGGATATCTGCATAATCTTGAATTTGCCATCCTTTCTAATCTTTGGTATCGGCTTCTCAAGCTTGACGGCTCGACCGCGCCGTATGGTGAGGCGCGGCTCTGCGCTATCCTTGCTGCTGTCCAAGTGCAGAGGACCATTCTTGACCAAGGCCCAGCCAGGCCGAGGCTCTACGGCATCGTCGCCAAACAGGATGTCGACGGCTGTTACGGCCTGTTTGGAGTCGCTGGCATGGCGCTTTAGCGATTTCTTGATCCAGACACCTGCCGGTCTCGACTCCCATTTTTCAGATGCTTGCGCCTTTTCGCCAATAGAAGGGTCGAGCTTGCCTGTGCGGACATCGATTATGACCTTGTCTTCGGCGCCTAGCTCCTCTTCCCTCTTCCGCTTAACGTGTACATATGCCCTGTTAACCCAACCCTTATTGAGGTAGAGATCCTTTTCTATGCGGTGCCATATCTTTTGGTCGAGCATACACTTGGACAGTGGGTTGATTGTCGAGCAGGTCTGCACGGTGATATCGGTGATGGCGAGGCCATCGTGGTGGAGGGGCAGGTGGCTGTGAACGGACTGGGGGAGGACTCGGTAGCGGTTGTCGAGGAAGAAGACGGTAAGGGAAAGGAGGATGGTGAGGGCAACGAGCTGGATGCCCGTGCGAACCTATGGTGGTGAGCAGGTAGCAAAGTGGCGCGGAGTTGGTGTACTTACTATTCGGCGCGTCATGGTGGAGGCCGTCGAGGGTGCGAGTGAAGGGTCATGAAGCCAGAGATGTGTCTAGGAGAGGGTTGCTTGGCAGCAGGTGGGACTCATGTCCATGGTACAGCGCCTTATTCGGATATTTCGAACCACAAATATAGGAGGAGGAGCGCATGCGCAGGCGAACAAGTTGGGTGAGGCGATGTGTTGGTGGGTGAGAGTGGGATGCGGGCAACAGTGCTTGGCTCTAGGCTGCTGGGATGCAGTCTCGGGATGGACAATGGCATGACAGGGGTGGGCAAGACTGGCGATACGTACACGAATAATTCTTGGTGGAATAACTCCAGCAAACAAATCATCTCAGACCAAAATACACATGTAATACATTTCTGTACGATGCACCAAAGCTAAGCAAGCATCTTCCTAGTCACATGTGCTGGGCGCCACTGAATTCATGTCTCGCTTGGTAGTAGTAAGTAGTGGTATTGCGGAGAAGACCTCACCTCCGCGCCGCATCTGCACCTTTCTTCTTTCACAAAGCCATGCGGCATTCCCCCCTCCACCTCCTGCAACGTCTTCCCTTGAAAACGCCTGCTCGCTACTTCACAAGTAGCTCTGGCTTGCGTCGCACGTTCAAAGGCAAGACCTCTGGCCACTTGGATCCGACGCCGCTCACAATTGCGCAGAAGGCGACCTGGTGCTTCTGCGCGAGAAAAAGGATACCCATGATGGCCGTCTTGTCAAGCTACAAGCCTCAAAATCTACGGGTACGCATTTGGGCGTCGTCCAGCATGCCGACATAATTGGCAGGCAGCCGCGCCAAATAGTCCAATCCAACAAAGGCGCCTCATACCGCATCCATGATCCTACCTTGGCCGAATATGTCAGGCTTACACCCCGTCTTGTCACTCCGGTGTGTGCCCCTCACTCTAAACATCCCGCCCTGTTTCTCCGATGCCAATGCGCCTAGATCTACCCCTCCGATGCCAATCTCATCATCTCGCTGTTCGACATCAACGTAGACAGGCCCTCTGCTGGCTTGAGCACAGATCCGCCACTTGAAATACTCGAAGCTGGTACTGGCCATGGGGCCTTGACCCTCCATCTTTCGCGAGCCATACATGCCGCAAATCCCCCAATTCCGAGAGCGCCCGCTCATAGTGGCAGCGAAGACGGCCCAGAAGACGCCGTCTATCTCGGCGAGTCTGTAAGCGATCTACAGCACTCGTACTTGGAGTCGTGGAAGCAAAGTCGGCGCGCCATTCTACATACGCTTGATATATCGCCCAAGTACTCTCAGCACGCAAAGAAGATTGTTGAAGGCTTCCGCCACGGCATGTATGCGGCAAACGTCGACTTTCACGTTGGAGACGTGTCCGACTGGATCTCCAAGCAGAGAAGGACGAGAAGAACTCAACAGCCCTTCCTGAGCCATGTCTTTCTTGACCTTCCTAATCCAACTCATCACCTCCCGAACGTAGCTCCTGTCCTGCACGTCAACGGTCTACTCGCCGTCTTCAATCCCAGCATAACCCAGGTTGCCGAGTGTGTCGAAGCAATCCGCGAGCAGAAGTTGCCATATTTGCTCGAACAAGTCGTCGAGCTTGGTGCAGGGACAATACGCGAATGGGATGTCCGCGCCGTCAAGCCAAGAGCAACTCTACAAAAGTCAAGCGCAGAGCAGACTTCAGCCCCATCAGGCAATAGAAGTCAAGACTCGGAAACTGAGCAAGCCTCCAGAGATGGCGAGCTCGAAGCAGCTTTGAATAAGCAGAAAGAAGAAGAAGAAGAAAAATGGGCCATGGTGTGTCGTCCCAAAGCCGGTCAGCAAGTCATCGGAGGTGGCTTCCTAGGCCTATGGCGCCGCATGGAACAGTCTACTTGAAACAACCGCATTACAGCCAAACTTTAGGCTATTGTATGCCATGAAACATTTAAACCTCTCAAAAAAATAATTACAAAAATCACTACATGTAAACAAATATCTCACTACTACCAAAAAAGGAATATTTCAAAAATGCTCCGTCTGCCAAAACCCCATATTGGTCGGCGCCCCTTGACCCAAAAACGTCTCATCAAACCCAAACCCATACGACCCAATCAAGTCATACATGTTGTACTCATTCACCGGATCAGCACTAACCTCGTGGCTCTGCGTAGCCGCCTTGACCGGATCGAAAATCTGCGACGTAGCCGGCGACGGCGCGGTAAAATTATGCGACGGATTCGCCGACGGCGTGCCTGCCGCTACATCGATCCTCTTCAGTAAATCATTGATACCCTGCACAATGTGCCGAGTAATATGTTTCTTATTCAGGGTATCCGCTACTTTCGCTAGAAAGGAGGCGGAGCGGCGGGACAGCGAGAGGACTTGATTGATGTTGAAATTCAAGCCGAGACCAAGGGGTTCGGTAGCCCATTCGGGCGACTGAGCTTGTGCGACGCCGCCCCAGGTTTTTGCGATTTTAAGTAAAAAGGTGGCGCTGAAGGCGAGCATGGTGTGGGTAAAGATGGGAACGGCGGTCATGGCGCGGCGGAGGTCGGGTTCTTCGAAGATGAGGGTTAGGGTGCTGGTTGCGGCAGTGATGGCGATATTGGCGGCTTCGCGACGGTCGTAGGAGAGGGACTCGGAGGTTGTGGCGTTGGGAGGGGGAAGGGCGCGGAGGGCGAGGGAGTTTAGTTGGAAGCGGGCGAAGTGGTAGTATAGGACTACGCCTTTTGAGGGGTATGAGCCTATGGCGGGGCTGTCTGCAGATTTTGCTTGCCATGCTAGGCGCCATTGTTCAATGGCGAAGTTGAAGAGGCGGAGTTGCTGGAAGTCGGGTTCTGTAAGGGGTTGCTCTGGGTCGCTGCCATAGACGACGTAGGCTTCGGTCAGGATCTTGAAGAGCGTGACTTGGGCTCCGAGTCGAATATCGCCAGGAGTGGTCTTGGGGCTGTCGAGGAACCGCTCAATATTTTTGACTGCGACATCGTCGTGCACCATTGACGGGCGTCCATACGCGATACTGAATTGGTGGTCGCACACGTACAGTGCAAGCCACAGCCTCACGTTATCCCGCTGATCCTCGTGGCCCCGCATAAGCTTCTGGTAAGTCAAATGCAGATTCATTTCTACCGCATTCCTAATTGCGAGTCCGGCGAGTTTCCAGCTTAGGTTTGGGACGTAGAAAGCCGCAAGCGCCAAGGCACGTATGTCATCGAGATTCTGGGGCCGCGCGAGGGTAGTACTGTAGACCAGCGATACAAAGATGCCGTAGCACTTTTGCAGCGCCTCGTCCTGGCCCGGCGTGTGTAGCGCCGATATCGTCAGGACAGCTGCTGTTAGCAGCGTTGAGTGGCGCCGCACTGCACTTAGTGAATCGTATGGAAACAGCACGCCAGCCCATAGATACAACCGCATGTCTTGCATGTATCGCTGGAACAGCTCTTCAGCTTCCCGCAGGGATACGACGCCTTGAGCTATAAAGTCCTCGTCCACAGAGTTGGAGTTGGGCTTCCACCGTGCGCTACTCCGAAGGTTCCGGATCCGCGTCAGGTCGTACAGACTTCTCATGGGCGCCGTCACTAAGCCAGATTCTTCGCCAGAGTCGCGTTCGACAGAGTTGTCACGCGTCATATCCATCAGAGGCGGAACCAACAGCGTAGTGTGGCCACTCTCTGATATGACATTAGTCGGCGTGACAGTCACATTCTGTCCCGATGGCGGCTGAGGCGATTCTGCTGGCGGGCTATCCAGGCCTGGGAGTTTATTGTGCGCGAGCAGACGTTGTACTGCTGCGCGCATGCGTGCCATTTCAGCAGACGCTTTTGCTTTCCAACTGCGAAACAACTGATTAGTTTTCCTGGTCTCTTCAAATGCACCTCATGTAGAGTTTCTTTCTGGGTGTATTTACGCAGCATCTTCGTCGAGAATGCGCTGGTTCATGTTGTACGGCACGCATTCTGTGCCGCTTCTCAGACACTTTGCGCATTTTGTCTCATTGTCCACTGGCTCGCATTTGATCTTGTGTCTCTTGCACTCTGCACCTGTTGTCCATTGTAAGTAAATAATAGAGCTAGGGGCAGCCGACTTGATGTGTGTGTATGCGTGAGTCGTCGGGGGACTCCTTTCTACTCACAAGCTCTAATCCTCGGAGTGCGTGGAGCAGGCCGACGCCCATCTTCATGGTCCGCATCGTCGCTTGGACGCTTCAGTGGAGACATTTCCATGCCATCGGGTCCCCTCGCTCGTGAAATAGTTTCGGAAACCGTTGGCGGACTTATGTCTCGATGCGGCATGCAAATCACACAAAAAAAGGTGCTTTAAGGCGTCATGTTTCCGTCTCGTGACTTTGCTGGAATTTGGTAGCGGGAGGTGTGGATGTCACCGGGGCGGAAGCTAGCCCCACACTACCAACCATCGTCACGCTTTGCCTGTCTGGGCAAATTGGGGGGGTTGCCGTAACAAAAGTCAGCAACAATCTGGGGAGGCTGATATCTGTTTGTTTTTTTGCGTTAGGAAAATTCGCTGTCCCATTATCACTCCCAGTAGTCATTGTCGATACTTGTGGGAGGGGCGACTAGAATGCTGCAGATATACGAGATCTTGCTGTAGATATACGTACCACTCGTCTATCTGGCGTTTCAAGCGGCTTAGTTAGCAATATAGTAGGCATTACTAAGTACGACTCTTGGCCTTACTTACAAGCCGGTGGTATTTGCCGCGCTTCCTCTGAATTCACATTGCAAATCTCTAATTTTAGGATAATGTTTGTTCGGATCTCTTCGGTTCCTGCCCCGACTTGATGCATCGCAGCTCACATACCAATCCTACTGTTGTAGTTTCCCCCATGCCCTTTTGGGGGTTTGGGATAGTACAATCTACGTATGCCAAGTTGAATACAAAGCTAGTAAAGAAATATACATGCGTCTAGCCGAGCGATTGAAAATTGTCCCCTGCCTATCAACTGAACGACGATGAGATCTTCTATATCTTACGTGATGATGGGTACTACATTGGTATGTAGACTCTTGTACGACTGCGGCTTGAGCTGGACCTCAGAAGTAAAGGATAGAAATTGCTAAGATGCAAATGAATGCTGATCTCTCCACAATGTAATTATTTTGTAGGACGCTAAGCTGCTCTTGTGGTGCAGTTCTAACGTTCTGGCCTCTACTACTACAGGCTAAAATCAATTGTTGCCCTGCTCCGCCAACCCCACACGGCTTCCCTCGAACGGTACGATATCCACACATAGATTTCAGACTGGTTGTCTGCAGTTGTCGCTATTGAAATTATGTTAAGAAACAAAAAAAAATATAGTGTCTCAACGGAGCTTTCTGAATGGTTTCAGAATTACTTCAGCTGTCTCTACGTTGATGTAGATAACGAACAGGAGATTTATGTTCAAACCAGCGCCACAGTACTGCAGCTTCTCACACCATGTACCTTTCAATATGTGGTGTGCCAAGCTGCCAATATTTTCAAGCGGGTAGTCTCTTATCGGAAGGTTGCATTGGACAACCAGAGAATCAGTCAGCGCCTGCATTAATGCATGCTCACTGCTTCTCGGATCTGCTCCTCCTACAGCGACGACTGCCTTGATTGGATAGCAACCACCGCTAGCTGTGGCGAACTAGTTCCATCGTGGAGGAATTGACGGTTGGGATCGACGTTTGTATGCTGTCTAATTAAGTTATGCTGTCTTTCGACCTGCTACCGTTTTCTTCTTGCGATCCCTGCGCAAGGCTGCATCTCTCGCTTCGCCGTTTTGCCTTCGTTCGGCAATGCTATGGTAGACTAAAGGACTTGCCAAACCCTAGAGTATTGGTGCATGTTTCACGAGTTTGCCTGCAATGGAAATCCTTTGAGCACATCATTCCCGATCGGCTAAAAGACACAAATAAAATAGTGAAGTACTCGTTGTTGTTCTCTTACCCATTTCAACCACCATCACATCGTATTCAGATCTCGATCACTTCGCCATGGCACCACCATGCCGGGTAACCATATGCCTTCTATTGGCTTTCTCGCCAGTGGTTACTCTTGCTCAATCTTCCTCATCTCTTGATCTCAAACCAGCAGCCACCTCCGTTCCTGTCACTACATCAGCAGGCGCAGCGCTACAGAAGGCTGAAACTCTTCAGCTTACCGATGCAGTGATCGACCGGCTTGCCTCTGATGAAGCTACAGCTGAATATGCCGAGTACTTCGCATTCGACAACAGTAGTGTTGCCAATCCTGCACACGTTCGACGGGCCGCTTCTGCAGATTGTAAGACTTTTCCTGGAGACGCAACATGGCCTAAGAAAGTCGTCTGGGATGTCTTCAATGCTCTACTCGGCGGAGCATTGATTCCGACCAAGCCAGTTGCAGCATCATGCTACGATTCTACATGGGGAAAGAAAGACCCCGCACGATGTGCAGATGTTTCCACAAACTGGACCAACGCATACTTTCATACAGATGACCCAACTTCTAGTAAGGCGAAGATCATTTCAGACTAGATTTTCAATCTCCGACTGACTTGGTTCGCAATTTGTAGACATGTGGCCTATCTACCAAGGCAGAACTTGCATGCCAAAGAATGATACCACTGGTAAGACCTGCACTCTAGGCGGCTTCCCGGAGTACTCTGTGAAAGTAACAAACGTGGCACAAATCCAACTTGCTGTCAACTTTGCTCGAGCCGCCAATCTTCGCCTCATCATTAAAAACACTGGGCATTGCTATTTAGGAAAGTCGACCGGTGCTGGTGCTCTCAGCTTGTGGATGCACAACATGAACAAGATTGACTTCATCCAAGATTACGAGGGGCCTGGCTATTCGGGACCTGCCTTGAAGCTCTCTGCTGGCGTCCTTGTCAGACAGGTGTACGAGGCTGCGGAAAAGCATGGCGTGACGGTACTGGGGGCTGTATCTTGGGTATGTGGCTACAGCGACGATTTTAGGACAACATACTAAGTATTCTAAGAGTGTCGGTTACGCTGGTGGTATGATCACAGGAGGAGGACAAAATCCGTTGGCTGGCATCTACGGCATGTCGGCTGATCACGTCGTGGCTTTCCAAGTCGTCACTGCCGATGGACGCTTTATTACCGTATCAGAAGAGTCAAACCCTGATCTTTTCTGGGCCCTGAGAGGTGGCGGCGGCGGTACGTTCGCCATTGTAACGTCAGTCATCATTCGAGCACACCCCAAATTGAACGTCGTCGGTTCGAGCTTCTACCTCGATGCTTCTAACAACAGCCTTGAAGCATTCTGGGACGGCATCGAGAAATACTACGAGCTCTTCCTGGACTGGGCCGAGGCAGGTCTCTATTCTTTCTTCATCATGGGCAACACTCCAGCTCCGTTCCTCAGCGCACGATACATCTTCGCCCCAAACCACACTTTGGATTCCTACAATAAAGTCGTCAAGCCTTTCTTCGACTACCTAGATGCCAAGAACATCACACTCACCCAGCCTCACGTCGCCAAAGCACATAGCTCATTCTACTCAGCCTACCAAGCCGCATGGGGAGTAAACGCCTTTCCCATCGGCCGAGACGACTCCATGGCAAGCAACCGAATCATCCCCAAGCGCAACTTCCAAGAGAAATTCAACCAGACGTTTGCACTCATCAAGGAGCACGTATCTGCAGGCAAGCATCTCCTGGGATATCACAAGGCGCCAAAAAAGTACGCAAACACTAATAACGCGGTACATCCGGCGTGGCGTGAGTGCGGCATGTTCATGGTTACTTCGACCAACAAGTCCCTGGATCATTCTACGCCGGAGGCCCTCGCCATCGCCAACAAGGATCTCCAAGAGAACATCTTGCAGCCTTGGCGCGATATCTCGCCTGTGTCTGAGGGCGGCGGTACGTACTTGAATGAGGCGCATGTTGATGAGAAGGACTGGCAAGAATCGTTCTATGGTGGGCATTACCCGAGACTTAGTGAGATTAAGCGGAAGTGGGATCCGAATGATGTGTTTTACGCCACTACTGCTGTGGGGAGTGAGAGGTGGAAAGTAAAGGACGGGGAGCAGGGTGTGCAGACTCAGAATGGGAGGTTGTGTAGGGTTTGATATTACGTAGTGGCGTTTGCCATGAAGAATTCAGTAGTCTTTGGCTTTTCGAGATCATTTCAAGTCTCAGTATTCAGTCAATCGTTACATTCATGCGTCTTCTTTCCTGTTTAGTTTTAAAGGACGAACTCGCTTTCCAGATTATGGTTGCTGGTGACTGCATAACCTTCAAGCACCCTCATCATAGAACTCCCAGTAAGTTGGGATAAGCTACAATCCGAACAATCGGACATGACTTCACACTGTACGCCAACATTCCGTATATCAACCACTTACCTGGACAACTCTTTCAAACCACGCCCATCTCCCTTAATCCCTCGCCACCAACAACCCCCTATCATACAACCCCGTCACAATACTAACCCCCCTCTTCGCATCCCTCGCAAAAGTCGAACTACTACAAAACTCCCCCCCATCATTCTTATACAACGTCCTCACACCCTCCTCCTCCGTCCACTCCGCCGCCCAACTCGACGTCGTACACTCACACGCCTTCCTCTCCTCCTCCCCACCCAACTCATTGCACTTCGCCCGCGCCTTACTCACAACCATAAGGCCCAGCGCAAACGGGTGCCCGGCCATCAGCAACTTCCCCGCAGAATCAACAGCGATATTGTCGACCATGAAGGGGAGCCTGATATGCTTGACGAGCTTCAACTCCACATTTGTTTCGTCAAATGTGTACAGGTAGACTGCGGGTTTCGCAGTCGACGCCACAGCCACGGTTGTCGAGTTGAGCATGGCAATCCCATTCGCAAACGCTACGTGCGCGAGCTTCTTACTCTGCGCGGGCTCGTGCGTGTCGACGTAGACGACGCTGCCGCCGGGGGCAGCAGAAAAAGTCTCGATTTTCGAGAGGAGAGGCGAGGTTAGTGCGCCGATGTAGTGGTCGTTTGTCATGAGCAATTTACCGTTGCCGAGGCTGTGGATCGAGTTTGGGGTGTGGAGCAGGGGGTGCGTGAGCGTCTTGATGTATGTAGCGGAAGCATTTTCGGGGGAGATGCGGAAGAGGTCGAGGGTGTTGCCTGAGTGTCGGGAGTGGTTGATTACGTATAAGGTGGAGGATTGGGCGTCGAATTCGATGCCTAAGGGGTGGAAGTCTGTAGGGTTGGGGTAGGAGATGAGGGTGAGGGGTTTGAGGGCTGCGGAATCGGGAAGGTTGGGCGTCGAGTAGTCGTAGAGCCAGATGTGGGCGTCGTCTTTGTCGCTTGTCTTTGTGCGAGGCGGCGCAAATGTGCCCTGCGGTTACTTTCAAGTCAACTACTATTCGAATCGGTAGTCATTCGAATGTTCTGGCCAGCTCACTCCTTGAGAGATCAACTGCCGGGGACATCCTTTCTCTTACCATGACGGTGTTCCATTGGTCTCGTCCTGGGTTGCAGCTCACGAAAGCAACACCCATCCCCTCCTCGATCAAGACATCTTCGCAATTTCGCATCCGTTGGGCAAACTTTACTTGGTGCTCTTTGAACAGATTAAGGTTCTCGAATTTCCCCGGCCGGTTCGCTAGCATGCCCGAGAACGTAACGCCACGGTCGTAGAGATAAGGCGCTATCACGGCAAGCGCAACGAGGTACTGCGTGGTCGGTTAGTAGCTGTGTCCATCTATCGGCAGCAGGAAGCCCGTACGAGTGACTTGGTCGCCATAACTAAAGTCGTATACTACAAGCCGTGTTGAAATTGCGGTAATGGCTGGGGTTGATTGCGGTGCAAAAGAGCCGAACTTGATTAAAAGATTATTTTGTGCTGACGGGGCCTAAGTAATAACACCTCTGTATTTACTTAGCCCAAGAGAATAACATGTGTTGGTTAACGTCATCGCATGCGGCCGTCAGCAATTAGAAAGTCCGTCAAACACATTCATGCTTCAACTTTTCTCCGCTGCAACGCAAAGGCTGCATCGGTATAAGGTTCGGCGCAAAAATTGCGCCGTACTCCTCTTCTAGACGCCTAGGACCGGTCGATCTGCATCGAACGAGTCCTATGTTGAAATGGCGCGCGTCTACGTGTATTTCCAAGTTGGGGCTAGCGCTTGATTACACGCATCGGCTTAAGATCTGATCTCCCGGTTTTGTTTGGAAACGACTTATCACGATTTGCGTTGCAACACTTGATGCCGCGGTTACAATTAAGGGTGGTTCCGCGAAGTAATCTTTAGTGCTGCAATGTTGGGCAATTAAGACAGGGTTACTATAACACTATTTGAAAAGGTGCTTTGCTTATCGAACCACAATGATCTTGCCTTTGTAGTAAAATATTTTGTTCGCAAATCCACTCACTATCACGGCTGCTGATTGCCTTGCTAGTATTTACTCGTGTGGTTCGTAGATCCTGTAATACCGCAGACAGTGCACTTACGGTGTAATCTCCCAGCAACAACCGAGGAAATGATTCCGCAGCCCCGCAATACTTGGCTTTCACACTATGTGGAGAGAGGCATTTTAAAATACTCATCAACCACAAACTACATATGATCTCATAACCGGGCTACTAATCTATGGCATGTTGAGATCCGGCATCGGGGTGGTGACATGTATCAGAAGTTTGGATTTTGTGATCACTGCGCCGCTTGAAGGATCTGCTTCGTGTTGATTACAGACGTCCCGCCTACCAGGTTGAATAACATGCAGATGAAGTCTGGATTTTGCTTTTTTCGAATCAGGCGATATCGGGGATGCTTGAATTACTATATGGAAAAAGGAATTTGGCAATTGCCAAAGGATGATTGACGGAAAACTTTATCCAGACCTTGTTGACGGTGATTGCAAGTGCTGGGTTACATCGTATACATCATCAAAACGACGCAAGAATGCTATATCTGAAATGGAAAAAGAGATTTGACTCTATGATGGATTGAAGGTGGTAGTTGCGTCTTGGAGTGCTCTTCCTACTCTGTCATAGTCACCCAATTGATAGTCAAAATGATACACAACAAAGCAAGTGAATTTCTCTAGGAATGGTAGCTCAAAGAACAGAATAGGGGCATCACACTAACATATCCTGTATATACAGGTTGACTAATGAGAGGCAAGCAGCGCAAAGCCAGCAGAGGTGACCCTGCAGGATCCGGGTGTAGTGGCACCAATGAACCGAGAAATAGCGCGCATTGCTAACAGCCCCTCACCGGACCCCCCAATCCCGGTAGCGTTAAAGAAGCGGAGACTTATTCGTTCGTAATCGAGTTATTGACCTCAAATTACAACCTTTTTGCAGCGAGGATTCCCTTGTCGAACCATTCTACCAAGCCGTGCACCTTGACGAGACATGGGTATTGAACATCGAGTCGCCATTGTTACAGGGGGTAACAGTGGCATGGGAACGGGAATAGCCCGGGGGCTTGTAAAGAAAGGATGGAAGGTAGCCATTGCGGATATTCAAGAGAACAGGGAGCTTGCTGAAGAACTAGGCGGTGCTGCCAGTTTCCACAAGTGCAATGTGGCAGACTACGATAGGTGTGCATATTTGCAGGTTGACCGACACGAGTGCTGACTGAAGAAGTCAGGCCGAGATGTTCCAACAGGTGTGGGATCGCTTTGGCAGAATAGATGCGTTGTGCGCCAATGCCGGCATCGTTGACAAGAGGCATGTTCTGCTGGAGACGTGCTTCAATCAGTGCTGAACCAGTGTAGCTCAATCTTCATTTTCGAGCACCGCGGATCCGACAAGTAAGGCCTCATTGTGATGTCCGCTCTTTTTCACTAACTGGGAGAGAATCCCACCGAAACCAGATATGCTATGTACCGATGTAGACTACAAAGGCGTCGTGTACGGTACACAGTTAGCGATCCACTTCTTCCGCAAGAACAAAGTAGCCGGCGGTAAAATCATCGCTACGGCCAGTGTTGCTGGGATCGTTCCCCATGAGTCTTTTCCAGAGTATGATGGAGCCAAAGCTGCTGTTGTCAACTTTGTGCGGGCAACGGCACGCATACTGAAAGCCGTGGGTTTCACGAGCAGGCCAGGGTCATGGAGTTTGTACTGACAAACGGCAGAAAGAGAACATCCAGATCAATGCAGTATGCCCTGGTGAATATGATCTCAACATCCTCTCGTCTGAGCAAAATAATTGAAAGTGTCAGGCATTGTGCAAACCGCCATTTTACCGCAGGGTTTGGTTGATGCCGTATCGGCAGAATGGTGGGTATATGTCCTGTATCAGAATGATTGATTGACGGGTCGCAGTTTAACGCCTGTATCCACTGTTGTGAGCGGGGTTGAGAAGTTCCTCGAGGACGACACCTTGTATGGCAGGGTATTGGAGTGTTCAGCAGACAAGCACTTTTTCCTCGAACCGCCCACGCTTGCCAATGGTCACGTGTCTAGAAAAGCTGTTACTGTGTGGGAACCAGCATTCGAGATGTAAGTTCTGTGTTGAAATCCGTTGCCTGGCTGACATGCGACTCAGGTATCATGGTGAGACTTCTGGATTGTCTGATGCAATTCCTTAAAAGAGGGATGCAAATAGGCTTTGATGAGCATACGCGTTCCATTACAAGACGACGAAGATGTTGCACGGGTCTTTGCACAGATGACGAAGATAGGGCTGAAATGCTGCAAGTGAGGGGCGTAGTGAGATTCCAGATGGTCGGTCGATTTGTGATGACAGCGCAGGTACGTAGCAAGGCAAGCAAAGACGTTGTAAGTAAGCTCGGCACGCTTCGGTCCATGTGCCCTGTTGAATATTTATTACTTTTCAACGTGGTTCGGGTCGGCCGGGAATGACTGTGTCAATTTTGTTGTGATGGAGAGCCGAAGGGGTGAGCACTATGAGTTTAACAAGGATGGCAGCCCGAATGCCCTTGACGGATTCGAGAGAGAAGGAAGCGATGGCAGCTTGAATGCAGAAAACCTTGCCGGATCAGGGAACTGAAGGTGGGTGGAAAAGTCTGCCGCGGGTGCATGCTGATAGAAACGGAGGATGACAGACTAGGTGCACACTGCAGCCTTAGCAGCCAGGCCAGGACGAGATGGAATAACGGGTAAGCGTGCTGACGATTAGGCCTCCTGTGGCTGTCTACATGACGAGTTGGAAAGAGTAATGGTGGGCTAGTCTGGTAGCTCAGCTTGATTTTGCAGAGTTGATGGTGGACAGCTGAAGCGAGCACACGGTACGGACTTGGGAAACAGTGGTAGAGATAGGTCGAGCGGACATGACGGCATGGAGCAGAAAGGGGCGTGTGTGCGGAGTGGCTTATTGGCTTGGCGATATGGTGTACATAGAGTGTTGGATGACAGGAAAGGGCAATGGCGAGATCTCTGCTTGGACTGCCGATGGCGAGGCTAGCGCTAAAGCATGCTGTCAATAATAGCGATGGTAATAAGTCGACGTGTTAAGGATTTCGGGTAGAATCCAGGACAGAGTTCGGGCATCTCTTTCCAGCAGCTTCTGCGACATTATTGTAACTGTGGGCCGGGGCGAGAGGCTAAGACTCTGACTGCAAGAGCCGTCGTCCATAGGGGCCGGCAGTGGATGGGGGAGTCGAGTTATGCGCAAGTGGTGGACCAAATACTAAGTTCTATTGCCATGCAAGGGTGAAAGGCCTTGGCGGGCCGTATTGGGTCTCGGCCACGCAAGAATGAAGGCGTCCCGTTTTTCTGGCCAGAACACCGTCCGGGCTGGTTACTGGATATTGCAATGCACTGACCGATAGATCCCCGGCCTATCATAACCGGCTGTCAGCAGTCAAACCCAAAGGTTCCGCATGGCAACGGGACAGATGCGTGGCGCAAGTTAGCAAGTCAGCCATGGGGGGGCGTGGCGTGCAATAATTCCCACTTCCCATGGCAATCATCATAAGGGCTGGCTGCTCCCGTGCCTGACCGTCTTCTGGATGCTGCAAGACTGTTTTATGAACGGCTGTTTGGACAACGATCGACACTCACGACCCAGTCGCACCAACTGCCTGTCAATATTTGCTTTTTTCCTCCATCGCCGTTGACAAACCCCTGGCGACCCGCTAAAAAAGCGTCCGACACTTGGGCTGTTGCTGCAGGTACCCGGAGCGAAACATCGAAACCAAAGGACGTAGTAGGTACATACTTGCGCAGGCCGTCTCAGCCGCGTGAGTGTGGGAGTCGTCCGTCCGGCATTGTCCAAGAGAGAGAGGGTCATGGGCTGCATGAAGTTGCTGCAATTCCCTGGATATTAAATATCGGATCGCCCGCCCATCTATTGAAATGGATTCCCAATCTGCTCGTACTGCCGAATCGCTAGCGATCCCGTCGCACCATTCCCCCCTGCAAACCCTCCCCAAGAAACACGAGAATCGCTGGCGCTGTGTGCCCATATATCAGCGCCTAGCACCAAGGCTCGGCTGTGCCCGCACGCTGCTCCTGCTGCTCGTTGCATTTCTATCCTGCAGTTCCCTGGCTGCTCCCGCACTCGCAACCAGAGCCCATGGTGATCGATCAGTGCTGTTCGTGGAAGACGACCTTGGATCGGCGCTGCACCCTCATCTTATCCACCACCCCGAGGCGCCGCGATTGATGCCTCCTCTACAGGGCCACCACGATGCCATCCGCTCATCCCCGCCATCCAAACGAGCCCTCGGCACCGATCCCAATGCCTCGAGTGGCGATTTCTCCGTTCCCGCGGCCTTTGATTCTGCCCTGTCCAACAACTTCACCAATGCCTGTGCAAAGTTTTTGAACAACATGCGCCAAAACGAGGATTTCAAAAACTGCCATCCTTTCTCGTTGCTACTACAGGTAATTGAGTCTGTGCTTCTGTGTTTGAGCGAGAATCTGACCGCGTGCAGACATCCAGCAGTTTCTTCGATGCCTCCAAATCCACCCTTCGCATTACTCAGACCCTCGACGCGACTTGCGGGGCCAACGCGTCCCAATGCAAGCCCCTCATGGACAAATATGCCACGCAAATCCTTTTGGCCGACGCATGCAAAGCAGACTACGATAGCGACAATCCCATGGTAATACAGGCTTACAATGGCCTGGTTGCTTACATGCCGTCATACCAGGCGAGTTGCCTGCACGGCAAAGACGGCAACTACTGCTTTGCAAGTGCCGTCACCAACACGACGTCTCCTGGCGACGCGTACCCATACTACCTGCCAGTCGGACAGGAACTTCCAGCTGGATCCCGGCCAACGTGCAATTCATGCCTGAAGTCAGCAATGGGTGTGTTTGCATCTTACAGCAACAACGCCTCGCAGCCCCTTGCGAAAACGTATGCTTCGGCCGCACACCAAATCTCAATAGCGTGTGGCGCTAATTTCCTCGATGTTACGGCTGCTCCGATCAAAAGCGCCGCATCTACAACAAGCGTATCACTTACGCCTACGATCACACTTGTCCTAATGTTTTTACTTTACTTTTTCCAGTGATGGACCGATACCCCATACATCCTTTTCTTGTACACGTACTGTTTTTTTTTAGTTTACAACATGGTCGGCTATTTGAGAGCGATCAGTCATTAGCGATGGCGCATGGGAGCTTTTATATTTTACACCGCCAGACGTTCTACCGAATTGGATGAGGATCCTATGTAGCGTTTGGACGCAGAGCACTGGGCTTTGTACTTATGCAGTAGAAAGGGGTGGGAGATCTATACTTAGGCATGTTCATCTAGGGACGACCTAGCATAACGGCTCTTCCTAATCGGAACAGCGGCTTTATGGTGACACGACGGAGCAATGGAAACCCATTGATAGTATGCTTGGAACCAGCCCTATGATGTTTCGTGAACTCAAGTCCATGCCGTCTGTTTCTCCATCCATTGGACTAGACGGGCTCGTCCAGAGTATGAAGGGCTGTTATATTGAGCTAGCAGGGCCTACGCGCAGCCACTCAATCTATCCGCTGTGGTCGAGCCACATGCAAGGCTCGCCCGGCCCATAATTTGTAAGACACATCATCATCATGATCGTCTTACTCGTGGCCAAAGCACGCGATTCCAGACGGGGTTTCGGGCAGGCAGAAGGCATCCAACTATAGCATCGTGTCTGGGGCGGGTCCGGGAGGCACAGGTAGGTAGTACAAGTAGGTACGTCATGCATGGCTGGGCAGTGGTGGAGCAAAGCCAGTGTCAGGCACAGTTTCTCAATGGACCCGGACGCCGTTCTCTGAGCAAGGTGAAACGCGTCGTGTGCACATCACGTGCAAAGTCAGCCCTCAGGTGTCAGGATCTGGCAGGAGGAAAGCCCCTTGGGCTGTTAGACGTTGCCAATGCGCCGCATCGTCCCGGCGGCCATGTGTCGCCCTCCGTGCTGCCGGCTCAACGACAATGCGCACGCTGCATCCATGTCGACCGTTATGAATGAGGCGCATCAAGTGCGCCCAACAACGAGGCACGCAAATTGCCGTTTCCTCGCTGCTGCAATGCTCGACGTGCCGGCGCTGATCCATCGACGCCTACTTCCCAGTATCGATACTGCCCCGCGTCCCGGTGGGGCGCGCGACCATCCTGTCATCTCAAACGCTTCTATGCGGACATGGATGATCCGCGCAGTTCCACATCGTCACCTGTGACAGGCCGCTCTTTGCCTGGTCATCATATCAAACGCTTCATGTACTCGGACCTCTGGCCACTTAGCTCGCAGACAGGGCCCCTGTCCTTTTCTACGCCTGAGACGCCCATCTTCGACGCGAGAGTTTACTATGCGCGTCCCATCTCCTCTCGCCTTCCTTCATTTTACTACCACTCATTATCCCAAAGGCATAATTAATCGGGCTGGCACCGGTTTGCTCGTCTCCAGTGTTGCACAGTCGTTCTCTTCATTCATTGCCCCCACGCTCTCTACAAACTCGTCTATCCAGACACTTGCATTCATTCGACTTTCTTCGCAAACGTCACACACACACTCTCATTACCACAATCATGTCTGACATCACAACCCAACACACCCTAGCCATCACTCCGTCGTCTCGTCAAGACATTGTCAGTGCACTGCTCAGCGACTATGGTAATTCCTTTGAGCCAGACGCCAAGTCCCCGTCAGTCTACTCTCCTGCGTCAGTGACCAAGGAGCTCCCCCCGCCTCCGCCACGATCAGACAGCATCGCGCGCAAACCTGTACCCGCCTCAGAGCGAATGGACGCCAAATTCCAACTTCGAGGTGGGTGAATTGATTGAAATTTGACCCGATTGAACCAACATGGTTGTGCATCTTGAGACTGCCTGCCTCGCTGGTCTGAACCATAGCTTGGGTCCACACTGACCATGCCCTGGTTTCACGTCGTCACATACCTCATCATGGCTCTGTTACTTTCTTTTCTACACCTCAACTGCACCTACCGTTCCAACAATGATTGCTGTTCCACTATGGTAGACTAACGTTCAGCAGAAGACCAAGACGCACCTCTGTCGCCATCTAGCTCAACCGGAGGCTCCCCACAGCCAAGGAAGCGCATCGTGTCACGTAGCCTGTCTCGTGGTTCCAGGCCGGCTTCACTGAAGCTGACCATCAGCAACGGGTCAACAGCAACAGTCCCTTCACCATCGGCCTTTCCATTGCCGTCTCAATTCATTCCTTCGCCAGTCTCGGCAGCAGAGGATCTTCCCCCGCCACCTCCACCCAAATCCGATCGAAGGGAGGAAATGGGAGGTAGAGTTTCCAAGCAAGCCAGAGAGCGAAATGATTCGCTCTTGTCGCAAAAAAAGTCGAGTGACGCCTCGTCGCCAGTCGTGAAGCGCAAAGCTGTTCCAGAAGCTGTCAAGGCATTCAAGAGCCTCGCAGAACTAGGAAATGGTCCACGGGGAAGAAAGGCCGTGCCAACAGCACCTACGTCTGCACCAAAGAGGGAAAATGTCGAGAGTAAAGTAAGCGTGAGCAGTATGGAGAGCCCTCAACCCAAAAACAATCTACCCAACATGCAAGCTCAGCTCCCACCAACACCCGACGAGGAAAAGGAGGATACGACATCTTTGGCCCAACCAAAGAAGGTCTTTGGTCTGCCCTCGAATCCACGTGTCAACTCTCTCGGATCGCCTGTGAACGTGCAGGGGAAGAGCAGTACAGGCTTGAGTGCATTGAAGGTATATATCTACCTCCCTTTTCCACCACCAGTACTCGTCAGATAAGATGCTTCTGCATCATGACGAAACTTTCAGGGTACTGGAGCCGTGTTCCACGACAATGAGTTTTAGTTACTAACTGGATTGACACAGGCACAAAGGCCGGCTCCCTCACCCCCTATAGTCAACATCCACGCTACTACCCCAGAGCCGACACCTTCTCCAACACTAAAACCCATTCTCGCGGAACCAGACGCTGGAATCTCACCCGTTTCGCCCTTGCCTCCCCCGACCAACCCGAGGACTTCATCCATTTACGAGCAGTCTCCTGTTGTCGCTGAGCCCGTCGCTGAGCCCCAGCAGCAACCTCCGGTTTCAGTGCAACAAGAGATCAAGCCAGAATTCACAAACCCTGCGCCTCCATATGCGCCAACACCACCAATCAACGCCAAGCCACCTGCTCGCATCACCTCGCTCGAGTTCCCACCACGCTCTGATTCCCGTCCCTTGAGCGCGCCCTCGCGCCCCACGTCTATCAGCGTCGGCATCCCAAATCTATCCCCATCTCCCGGCCCCTCCATACCTCCATCCCCCGTCGCCAAAGACAGCGAACCCACAATCGCCATTGAATCCAACGAAGTCATGGAACCCGCCAGAGTCATGGAGCCCACCGAAGCCATGCAGCCCATCGAAGCAATGGAACCCGCAACACCACCTCCCTTCGTGCCCCTAACCGAGCAATCCATCCCCGTCCCCTCCTCGCTCGTCCCACAAGTCACAAGCAAGCACATGCACTGCTACACCAGCCACGCGCAGAACATCTTGTCCAACAACGTCTTCCAGCCCATGGCCTGCATGGTATGCCGCGAAAACGGCAAGGAGCGCAAGTGGTGCTGTACATGGTGCCAACTGCGCATCTGCAAGAACTGCAGCGACGACCTCATGCGTGTCCCCGGCCGCAACCTCGCCCTCTTGATGGATGCGAGGTCGAAAGCGCAGAACGCAGCTATAAACGAGATGGGTGGCAAGCAGGACTTGATGAGCAACGGTGGCGGTGCCGCTGTTGCTGTATATGACGCTGAGGAGATGATGCGATGAAGCAAAGAAGAGAGGGCAGTGTGTTAGACTGGTTTTTTTTTCTGATACTACTAATCTCGAACATGACGATTGTTCAATCCCACCCACACACACACACATATGCACACATTGAAATTATGAAGTTTGTTTTTTTTCCTCTTTCGATTCTTCTGATGGCGGTGTTTGCGAAACCCCGTTTTTTATATGCACATCTGTATAAAGAAGTTCTCTTGCGGGCATTAGATAAACCTTTTTTTTTCCTTTTCTTTTTTTATTTTCGCACTTTTTGATACCACAAAGACTGAATGTTCCCCCTGTACCGTCTTTTTCTTCTTCTTATATAGTATGGAATCAGATTTTTTTTTCCTTTCATTTCCTTTCCTTTCTGTTCTCTCTCTCTTATCCATAGAAATCTAAACCTAACAGATTTGCAACCCCCGCAACCCCAATTGATCTATCCATTCTTCTCTTTCATTTGCTGTAAAACACCCACCACACTCGGAAGTATGCGTTCTGCATTCTCACTCAAGCGTACCGCATCCCTCCCCGTTTCCGCATCTTTTATATCCCCGAAAAATGTTTCTTCACCTCGCACTCCACCCATGTTGAGGACACCAATCGGCAAATGCATCTCCTTGGCCTTTTTCACAAGCCGCCATGCAGAATACGTAGCTAGACTACTTCCAATCACCAGTATCCTGCCTGCAGCCTCAACCGCCTGCTCCGCCGCCACCTTCGTAGCCGCAGGAATCGACTCTCCAAACATAATAACAGCAGGCTTCAATACACCCCCTTCACTGGACGGATCCCATGCCCCATCCTTATCAACTTTAACCTTAACCTCGCTCCCGTCCGCGCGTCTCGGCGGCTTCTCGAGACACGTCGGACACGCGGGGTACCGAAACGTAGTATACGGTGCATCAGGGATATCCACATCGCCATCGGGATTCGTCTTCAACCCCCTCTTGCGGCGCTCAAGCGGATTCTCCGTATCCAGCGCACCCGTGTCCAGCATCTCTGCCAGGAACTCCGCCCACGAGGGGTTTAACAATGAGAGTTGCGATTGGAAAGTCCGTCGAGAGTACTCGTTGCGGCAGGTAAGGCAGACGAGGTTGCGGAGGTAGCCGTGGAGTTCGATGGTGGGGAGGTCGGGGTGCGTGGTTGGGTGGAAGGAATCGACGTCTGCTCTCACACACACCGTGTCAGCCTACCTTCCAATTACAATACCCCTCCCCCTCCCACCGCGTCCTTGCTGCCTTTCTATAAAAAGAAAGGGAAGAAAGATGGGAGAGGAGAGGAGAGAAGAGAGAGAGAGGCGTACTCTGCGTCACCAACCCCCCAACAACCCCCAAACTCCCCAACTCCCCACACGCCACATGCGCCGCATTCGCCCTCGCACGCTCCAGATTCGTCCACCCCATAAAACTCCGCGCCCAGTACCGTTTCCTCATCTCATGGCTTTCACAGAATTCATGGTAGTATACCGGGCGGTACGTCTTGTTGAGCGTATACGTCCCGTTTGCGCCGCGGTAATCTGCGAGGCCCGATGCGACGGATATGCCTGCGCCGGTGAGGAGGAGTGTTTTTTTCGCTGCTCGGGCGTCACGCGGTGCGAATGCAGAGCGCGTGCGGGATGGCAGGCATGGCGATAGAAAATCCACCAGAGCGGCAATGGCGCCGCTGCTTGTTGTGCCGCTTGCGGGAATGATTCGAGGTGCGGGTAAGGGATCTGTGTATGGGATGCGGAGGAGAGGGGCGCGGGGCATTGCGCTTGGATTTGAAGCAAACGACAGAGAAAGGGAAAGGGGAAATGGCGGAGTCTCTCTTTTTTTTGGGGGGGGAAGGGCTACTACTACTATCGGTCAATCATCTTGAGGTCGCTGTGCGAGTTTGTCGATTGATGCGGCAATGCTCCAAAAACCACGATGGTTATGTCATGATGCTTGTTTAGCGCCAAATCGGCCTTTTGCGGGTCCGGGTGTGCGCCACGCGCCAATGGCGTGGCTGTAGTTTGTTGCTGTCGCGTGCATGAGTGCAGGGCGGGAAAGGGTGTGGGTGTGTCGTTGCCGCATGCAAGGAATTCAAATGTTTATTTTTAGTGAGGCTCTGCGAGAGGGTATGCATGAAATCGCTAGGCTGTCTTTTTCTTGTGTGTGCTTATGTTTGGAGGTTTGTGGGGTCAAAGGATTACTTCTGGCGGAGGCTGTGTATCCGGCCAGGGCTGTGCACTTGTGTAGCCAAGATGATACAGAGTCGACTCGATGATAGCGGGATCTGGGAACAGTGTGTTCGTGGCTAGCAGGCAGCTAGTAGTGTATTTTTTGTCGATACAGCTACAGGTTGGTAATATCGTTAGTACACTTGATAGACAAGTTTGTACAATGAGGGCTTAGATAGAAAATGAAACTCGATCACATGCTGGAAGATGCATCTGGAAGCATCAAGATGACATGAAAAGAAAGAAATAACATTGGAGAGAAGCATAAGAAATAATGAAAAAAAAATACACGAGTCCATCTCCGCATACCAAAGAAACGTCATCCTAGTATCTGCGAACATATATCGAGAAAAAAAGTTAAAAAATACCAAAGAAATAACCCAAGCTACTATGGATCTTGATGCAAGAGAATGTCCTGTTATCCGACCCTATTACGGTCCTCCGCTGTTCCATATGAACAGATCGAGTGTATAGAACGACTGCTATATTAGCCAGTCTAAGTCACCTATGTAGGTGTATATCTTGAAGAGAAACTACCAGGTGGTAGCGTTGGGTATCGGTGTGTTTCTGAAGGGTATCGGTACAGAAAAGAGAAGGCTACCGGGTGAAAAGGTAACTGTGAGAGTCGTAACGATCGTGAGAAATATGTTGAAGGAAAAATGAGTAGGAAAAAAGACCAAAGCTCGGTAGTGATGATGTCGGCCGTCTATTGCGGGTGCGATAGCTGATGCGACGAATATGCCATTGACTGGCTGTGCATTGGCTGTTGCATTGGCTGTGACATTGGTTGTGGTATTGGTTGTGACATTGACTGTGGCATTGGCTGCTGGAGTGGTTGCTGCATGGGTTGCTGGATTTGCTGAATCGATTGTGGCATAGGCTGCTGGATGGACTGTTGCATAGGTTGTTGCATTGGCTGCTGCATAGGCTGGTGCACAGGCTGTTGCATATGATGCGAATGTTGTTGCATCGGGTGCAGCATAGACTGGATACTCGGGACCCGCTGGTGCTGTGGTTGTGGGTAGCCAGAGTACGGAGAGTAATGGGGTTCGGAGATTGCGGACATGTGCGACATGCCACCATGTTGATCCTCTTGATCTTCTTCGAGGTCAGAAATTCCTATTCCACTGTCTTCATAGTCGTGGTAGGTACCATTCTCGAGCTTCTTGTGGGCCGACCTAGCGGCCTGCGTAAGATTCTTAAGTCCCTTCTCCATACACTATCGTCAAATCAGTATCGCGCTACAAAGACCTTAGCTTTCACGAAACAAACTTACCTTTGTCTCGACCAACTGCCACTTTTCTCCAACACGGGCGGCAAGCAAACTCCACATTTCTTGCCGCACGTCCATGTAGGCTTGTGCCAGGATCTCGAGCTTAACGCCGTCCCATTGCTCCGCATTCTGCCTCTCCATCAATCGCTCGTGGCGTTTACGGCAGGCATTTGGAGTCTTGGAAGGGAAGTGCTTTGGTCCGATCTGATTCCAGTTGAGGCCTTGGGCTCTGGCGCGGATAAGTGTTTCGTCATCCTTGGTGGACCAAGAGGAGCTTCGAGTTCCACCTGCAGCCGATGAAGTCGACACGGAATGTCGATGAGATGGACCCTTGTCAATCTTAGGCATTGTCGACCAATGGAATGAGTAGACAAGCAAAAGGAAGAAGGTGATGACAGGAATAGAGATATAGAATGACGCGCTGACAGGGAATTGAAAGACAGCGATGAGAGTAATGGAAGTGACCGGGTAGCGGATTATGATTAGAGTAGACCAAGTCGGTGGAGAATGAGAGTGACAGAGTAAGAAGGAAAGATGGGAGATAGCCTGACGTGTGATAATGAGAGAACTTCTAGTCGTACCTGTTGTAGTTGGGCTGTCTGAAGATGCACCAAGGGGCATGACGAGCATCTTTATACAATAAGCCACATACAGAGCCTCCATCCACAACAAAGGCCATCAGGCCGGTCGGAGAATTGTTTTGAAACCAGGACATGTTTCTGTAATCGCCGGATCGATCTGCCATGTACCGAGAATGGTATGTATGACTAGGCGAAGAGGAGGCTGTTCACTGGATCACGACTCCAAGCGCCATGAAGGAGGGCCAGGGCTGGCCAAAACTGGGCCTCTGAGTGGTCGGCGCACAAAAACGTGAGCGGTTCATCCCCTCGAGCAAGGGGGGGTGCCTGCAACGGAAGCGCCTGTTTGAGGATACCCACTGTGCAGCCAGATGCGGCTGTGTCTAAGAATAATTCGAGTACCGAATGGAGGGGTAGCGGTAGAGGAAGGGGGAAGCGATTTAGGGGCGGCTAATCTGGCGCTGATTCGACCAGGCTTCAAGGCCCAAATAAAGACCTTGGCAAGCGACAAACGAGCAAGGGGTGCGTTTTTTGGTCAGACGTGTGTATGTAGGGTGCTGTAGTCATCAATATTTTGTAGGGCTGAGCTCGGGGACCTGCAGAAGGGTGCATGTCGCGGGTCGCATGTCGCAGAAAACCACGTCCAAGTGCAAGCAAGGCCCGCAGCCTGGTCCAGAAGAGGAATGCCCACAGAGAGTCGCCTGAGATCAAGAGCACGCGAGAGAGACCAGGTTGCGAGAATAGCAATCCAACATACACGGGCCGAGCAAGATGCCTTGCGACCCACCGAGAGCGCCCATCCGCGAGGCGCTCACAGTGACGATAGGCGCGGCTGGTGGATGGGCGAGTGTTGGTGTTTCATAAACAACTAAGTAAGATGGCCGCGGGAACAACCGAGTGCCGGGCAAGCGCCCGCGAACTGCTGCCGGCCCGTTTCTATGCCTCTGCAGGATTAGGTGGTGGATACTGGCCTGCTTGTCTGGCCTGGTCGTATAGCCTTTGGGGCAAATCCATCGTCTGGTGTCGAATGGGCGATGACGGCTGCCGCGCACACAGTTGCCAGCGCGCAGGCGGCGCCCACGCCTCTCTCTATTCTAAGTATACGCAGATGCAAAGCATAGCCGAGCACCACATGGCAGCACGGCTGCAGAATCGTCGTGTGCCAGACTCGACATCCCCAGGGTAGAGTCGACCGTCGCACCAAAGAGACTGTTCGTCTGGTGGTCTTGCCCATCTCCCCGCATAGCCACGTTCCGTCGTCCCGCCCCGTTCCCTCAGCCCCCCGCCTCGGCATCCGAACTCAGAGAATCGATAAACGGCATGCACCCAGCCCCTCTCCTTCACCACCATCGCATTCTTATCCAAATCCCATTGTATTGCGAAACACCTGTTTCGTACTGAATCTTAGAGCAGGCCATGTGTGCGGCCTAGTCTTACTCCTACCTTATGTACGCTTGGATTCTGCATGCCTCCATTCGCGTACTATGGCTCAGGCGTTCTCTTCTAGACGCATCTGCTACTTTGGTGCAATACTCGCCCTATCCTCCATACAATTCGCCATATTCTTGCAATCTTGGCCATTGCCCTCGTGTAACACCATCGAGGGGGATACAGTCATCCAACAATGCCGCAGCAGTTTCAGCACACCTTCTTTGACTCCCTCAACTGCCTTTCCAATCACTACACCAGATAAACGTTCCACAACGCCATTGCGTCCCTACTTCCTTGTGTCCTGAAGGCCCAATCGGCCTAGGGCACACCCAAAATTGCCGTCCACAGTTGACTCCTGGCTTCTTAGTCGTCAGAGTGATGCAAGGTTCGCCATGTTCACATCGGGGCGCTGCTTTCTTAGAGAAAAGCTTCGTCCAGCCTTCCCTTGATGCTTCTTGAGAGGCGCGGGGATCAGAGTCAAAGGATTCAGTAGTTGTCGACGTGGGAGGGGGCGGAGGTTTGTCTGTAGTAGTCTGACCTGCAGTATCGGTGGTTGCAAGGGATGAGACTGATGGCGCTGCGTCGTTGGGCGTAATAGGATCTGCAGACTTGCTATGTGTCTGGAAGAAACCTTTGAGTGATTGTTGCCCCTTGTTCCCTTTAGTAGACACAGCTAGGGCACCAGGTTTGCCCCGCTTGATTGGCTTTCCAGGGGACGCAGAGGCTGATGCGCGTCGTTTTTCAGCGGACTTGAGAGGACTCTGCGAAGATGTGGGGTTGTTTTCCGTATTCGCAAGCATATCCGCTTTAGAAGCCTCAATTGCCAAAGCTAGATCTCTATCCATCTGTTCCTCTGCTGTGCTTGCAGTACTTGCGGTCTGAGCCTTTGTGACGTCCGGCTGGGCTTCTGTAGGCGTAGGTTTTGGAGTAGGCATCGGGGGTGCTGGCTTTTTACTGAACATGTCCCGAATATTCCTCCTCTTAGTGAACTCTGAAAGAAGTTTCCCGCTAAGGGCCGGGACGTCCTTGGCTGGATCGTAATCACGTTGGCGTACACCGTCTTTGAACATGTCTGCTGGGTTCATTAAGTCTAGAACATGCACCTCCTCTTCTACGCTTTCTGTTCCTGGTGTCCGCTGTACTCGTACTTTATCTTTCAAAACCGCGTATACCGGACAATGATCTGAGCCCATCAGTCCTTCTTGGATATTCGCGTCTTGAAACCAATCCTTAATGACGATGCTACACAGAATAAAGTCGATCCGTGATCCAAAGTTACTCGGCCTAGCATTGATCTTCTGCTCCCAGTGTGTATACATGCCTTCACGATCAGGGTGGAACTCGCGACACAAATCATACAGCACCGGCTCTTCGCGTCCCTCGTCTCGCTGACCTGGAACCTTTCCGTTGAGCAAGAGCTGGTTGAAAATTCGACGATTCGGTATGCTTAGATACTCATCATGTGTCATACCCTCCGTCCGTATATGTTCTTCTGCCCTCGCAGTATCGATCACGTCTCTGGAAACATTCAGGTCTCCAGTAAGAATAACATTCTTTCTCATCTTCGTCAAGTTTCTTATCCGTGTTTCAAGAGCTATGAGAAAGCCAATGCGGAATCCGTCCCGTAAGCCATTGCTGTTTGCTGGGCTATAGACGCCAAAAAGGACAAAAGCCGGAAACTCCAGGATCAGACAACGCCCTTCCAAATCTAAGCTCTCTGCATCGAGGTCAGGAGGAAGGCCTGCAATTTGTTCGGGAGTAAGGTAGCCGCCGATGCTGGCAGATTCCGGGAGTTCACGGTAAGGCGTTGTTGAATTCGGAGGGCAAAGAGCGCCTAGGACGCCTTCTTCCGCACGGATAGGAGCGCATACGGATTGTCGTGTAAAGATGCCGACACCAGAGTATCCTGGAGTACGTTAGCACAGAAAGACAGGACTAGCCTATACAAATCCAAGGTGGCGTACCCTTCTTGTGCTTGGGCAGACTGAAGTAGCAATCCCAGCCTTGTATAAGGACCATATCATCCGTCAGGTCCTTGCGCTGAATCTTCAACTCTTGCATAATCACAATGTCGGCCTCCAATATATCGAACATGGCATTAAAGGTACGATTGTTGCTCCATGGCTTGTACCCAAATGGGTTGCGAATGCCGTTGACATTCCATGTGGTGATGCGAACCATGTTGGTGTGTGTAGAAAGGGATTTACGGAGGGCGACGATAGGTATGCATATATCCAAGCTTCCTCATCGTCCTGCTCCCTCGTCGATGCCTCAGCAAATGAAGCTGTTCGCGTGAGAAGGCAAGACGCGCCAACGCGACCAGTGCACGACGTCACATTACCCGTCGGGGTCGGCAAACTCCGCATCAGCCCATCCGAGTTGCGCGCGCCAAGCCCTGTTTCGTCAATTCGGAGCTGGCTCCTCTGTCACAACCTCACTGCCCACGCCTACGCCCACACCAATTGCGACCACCCCCCATCTCCACTCCACCCCAAACCGCCGCCATGTTCGCCGCCCGCTCTGTCGCCCGCGTCGCCCCGCGCCAGGCCCTTGCCCGCGCTCCTGCCCGCGCCGGCCGCCGCAACTACAGCTCCGAGAGCCCCAAGCAATTTGCCGGTGCCGAGGACAACGAGTTCAACCGTGAGCGTGCTCACATCGAGCAGCACGCTGGCGAGTCTGGCGAGTTCTGGCGCAAGCTTTCGCTCTAGTAAGTTGCCTGGCTACTTTTCTGGCGAAAGAGGGGGAATGACGATGAGGACGAGGAAGAGACAACCAGACTGCTATGGAATTGTGGATAAGCAAATGGGGTATTGGAGGGAATTGAATTGGGTTCTGGTGTGAAATATGGCAGCTCCAAAAGAGGCGGAAAAGATACAATGCTGATTTCCCCCTTCGAAATGGTCACTAACCATCTCCATAGCGTCGCCGTCCCCTGCATCATCGTCGCCAGCGTCAACGCAAAGGTGAGGTGGGATGCCCACTGGGAGCACGTAGCCCACGAGGAGCACGAGCACCCCCGCTCTGAGAGGCCCGAGTACCCCTACCAGAACATCCGCACCAAGAACTACTTCTGGGGAGACGGTGACAAGGTACACTCCATATATACATACACATCCCAAAGCCCTTAATCTGACCACACACACACAGACCCTCTTCTGGAACGACAAGGTCAACTACCACAAGAAGGACGAGTAAGCGCTTTGCACGTCACCGCTTCTATACAAGTGATATCATATATACCATTCTCAAGCCCAAACATCACATCTAGAGAGCAAACTGTCAGGGCTGAATGTGTGTACATAGTACGATGAGAGCAAACATGCTGAGAGAGAGACAGTAGAGCAGCAAATGCATTTTTCCCCTTCTGTATCTGCAACCTGACTTTGTGTGTGTATGGCTAACGTCCTGAGCAATTCGTATTGCTGTTTTATATATATATATATATGTCTTTTCATATGGTTTAGCCTTCTAGTGCCGCAAGTCCTTCCTCCCAAACGCTATTGTGCCTCATTGCCCATTCCTCCGCTACTTTTTCGTCACCCCGCAATTTGGCGATGATCGCCTTCTTCATCAGCTGCTCGCATTCGCCATCTAGGTACCCCGCTTTCCGGAAACTATCGCGTGCACGATCAATGTAGAGTTCTGCTTTGGCGACATTGGTAGAACGGGAACGGTACGATGGTGCTGTGGGAGTCGCAGGTGTTTGGGGCGGGTTGGAAGCCGTAACGGTAGTGGTAAGTGGGAGATTGGGATTAGCAAGGCCCATGTAGGAATCTGATAAGTGCGAGTATAGAGTTCCGATGAGCATTTTGTCGCCGCCTTCTAGAGCCTATGCCACGGTATATTAGCATCAATGACCTAACTCTCTGCTACGGGAACAAAGGGATGTGAATACGTACCTGAGGAAGCACACCCTCGACCAACCTCTTCGCCGCTTGATACTCGCCTAGCGAATTCAAGATTGCGCCTAGACAGCCCACTGCACACCAAAGTGTGAATCCCAAGCGTGCCCTGAAACTTACACTCGCTGCCCGGAGTGCCACACTGAAGCCTCTCTCTGGTTTCCCCACTTTGATCCAGAGATCAGCTTGCATAAGCAGTACAGAAATACGCTGTTGGATATCGGCATTATCTTCTTTAAGAGACTGGGCAAGAGCTGAAATGCATTGGTACGCAAGTGGAAACTGAGCTGTCGAGATGAGATAGTTGATATAAGTGTCGTGCTGGATGAACGACAGTTCTGGGTCAAGTGGGGGCGTGGAAGGGGAGCTGGAGGGCTTGAGTGTCTCGAGGAGGTGCGTAGCCGTTGGCCAGTCAGATCTGTTCAAGATATATCAGTATTCGTAATGTGGGTTAGGATGTGGATCAAGTACCTTCGGATAGCTTTTCTCAACTTGATGAGGCCCATACATAGAATGAGGAACTGATTGAACTTGAGAGACTTGTGTATGGATGTATCCACAGATTCGAGGATAGACATCGCTTCATCGTAGTTGCCGCTCTGACTGGTGACAAAGGCTTTGCGCCCAATGGCACGGAGACGCTCTTCAACGGGACATGAGTGCGAGTAGCAGTCAAGAAGGAGCTCGCAGTGCACGTTAGATAGATGTGGTATGCCAAGGCGGTTGTAGAGCGTTCCAATGAGAAGCATTTGACCGCCATAGCTGTTTACATTCTCTTTGATGTTGAGGTGGGAGGACTGGTAGATGTGTTCCAGTGCTCGTGGGATGGAATCGCCCTGGTAGGATGTTAGAACTGTGCCCGATCAAGTGACTGAAGTATAACGCACTGTTGAGAGAGAAAGCTTTGCCTCGTTGAGAAGACTTGCGCTGAGTAGATGATACATTTTAGCATCTTTTGCCTTGGCCTTAAGGAATGCCAATGCATCTCGCTCACTTCCAAGCATGCTCATGTACCCTGCACCTCTCATCTGCTTTGGGTATGCTTTGGCCATATGGTTCAACCAGCTAAGACTAAAGCTCAAACAAGTCATGTCCTGGTTTTCCCGAGCTGTTGCAATAGTCTCGTTGATAGCAGCTATAGCCTCACCAAAGCAGCCAAAATCTGCCTGCAGAATAGCCATGTGTAACAGGGCATACTGGTAATGAATTTTCTCACGTGTCTGCATAGCATAGTCGTAGTAGCGATGCAGATTGTCAAATGCGGATGTGTAGTCTCCCGCCTTCCAGGCATCGAAAAAGTGCACCAGATGCGCCTGGCGATGTACCTGTCCTGACGGGCTCACCATGCTGCGCAACCGACTTTTCATTTCATCTGGAACGCGATCTCCAAACTTTTGCAATCGATCAAGTTGGAAGTCGAGTATCCGATCCAGGTCATCCAGGCTTGTATCTGCACCCTGCTCTTCTTGGTCCTCTAGGTGGCCGTATGCGATTTCATACACATCATCTCCAGCTCTCAAGTCCATCTCAGAAGTGACCACATCGACGCCGCTTGAAGCTAGGCCAGCAAGCCGCTTGGTCCATTGCGCTGTTGGAGCTCTGTATTTAATGAATGATGACCAGAGTTTCATTGAATCGTCGAATTGCAGTCTTGTAAACTCCAAATGTGCTCTACGAACAAATGCACCAAGGGGCGACGTTTTGGATAGATAAGTGCGGTCTGGTATCTCCTCATCTTGGTTTGATGGCTGCTGCCCCGTAACAATCTCCGGAATACTGTCAAAGAGAGCATGCAGCGCATCGAAAGAATTTATCTCCCACATTTGCTTGAGAAATAGGTCGAGCAGGGTCCGGCCCGGTATGTTTGACGCATGTCCTTGGAGAACATCTTCGAATGCATCGATCGAAAAAGATGCATCCTGCTGGTTTGAGGTAGAGGGCTGTGGCCGTGCGCTGGATGGTGTTGAAGGCAAGCTGTCTGACAAGATGAAGGAGAGAACGGGTATTGTCGCGGAAGAAGGGAGAGGAGAAGTGCAGTAGAGCCGAGTCAAAACAAGAAGACTGATCTTTTGCGCTGTAAGGTAACGAGGTATCGTCATCCTTGTCGCTTATAGGGTTGTTGTAGCTACCTACAACAAGCAAAGCAGCAGATGGTGTGGTCCTCGGACTATTGCACCCAAGATACTTTTCACAATATCCTTCTATGCGACGGCTGCATCGTGCGCTGTCGAAGTGGCTAGCAGTTTTCTTGTCGATTGTGTGGTTCTCAAGTTGAGCCTATTTGGTGAAGGTGATGTTGAAGGTCTAGCCCAGCAACCGAGCGCGCAGGCGCGTACCCGTCGCGAAGCAATGGGCCCCGAAAGGGCGGCACCACGCATCATACATCAGCATTAAAAGTATGAAACGTTCTGATTCTTTAAGAGACATGAAAGGCGCAGTATAGAAATAGTGAGAGTCAATTACGACAATTTAATATAATATACATTTATGTAATCGGCTGACGCGAAGAGTTGCTCACTCCAGAATCCTTCCTGACACTCTTCAGATCACTTTCACTAGATTGCAACGTCGGGACTGGAGCAGCCTTCAAGAACTCGTCCTCGTCTGTCGCGTTTGTTGCCCAGATCTTGCTAATACTTAGGTCGTATGGTCCTGGTATCCGATCTATCAGCGATATGCCTACTGTGCGCACCTTTTGCGTCAACATCTCTCTTTGAGGCTCGACGACCTGGCCGTGATTTGTCCGCACAAACTCGTTCCACTTGATCAAGATTGTTTCCCACTCTCCAGGTGTCTTGGAGTGCAGCAAGTGCTGGTGAATATCGGTGGGGACGATGGATTCTGTCTGGACGTTTACAAAGTACTTGCGCCCATCTGACTTGAATTGGATGGCAAGGAAACTATACATGCTCACGTCCCACAGCGACTTGCCGAAGATGGTCGAGCCCCGGTCCAGTGTCCTCCACCCGGCATACCCGGTCCTTTGAATGTGCGGCTGGTTGTGTGGTAGTTGTGTGGATATGGAGCCGTGAAAGCGGACATGTGGAGGTTCGTTCTTCGTAGGGGGATGGAAGTCCAAGTCCGCAGAAGAGAAGCCGCCAATGTCTTTATCGCTCATACGCTTACACAGTTCGACATCGTCGGGCTTGTTGAAGAGGATCAGAGGGAATGGCTTCTGGGGCGACTTCAGGCCCTCGAGTTTGAGCGCTGCAAATGTTAGCGGCGGCGCATGCAAAGTGCGGTTTTTGGCACTCACCAAAATTGGAGAGCCGCTTGAACTCGTCCAAACTGCGCTTGAAGAAACCAGGTGCAAGACAAGCCGAAGTTGGGCGCATGTTGACGTGGGGATCAATGCAATGTGCAAGAGGCGCAATGGCAGCTCTCTCTCGATCTGGGTGAGGCTCACACGACGCAATGCAACTATGACGCCGCGGTAGTCTCGCCGGTCACTAGCCGCATCGGGCTTACATGCCAAAAATCTAGGGACATTTGCATTTGCATTTGCATGTACAGCGCATCCGCCACACTCATCGCTGGATGAGACTTTTGCAGGAGATTTAGCCAGTCAAGGATCCGCCAATCCATCGACGCTTCATTGCCCCCGCCCACCTCCCCCGACACAATCAGAAAAGTCGCCAGCCCCGCCACCAACTTTTTTGTCTCTCGATGGCGCTGCAAGAAACCTCCAGGCCTCGAGGTATTCGAGACAGCCCCGCCCACCCTCTGCAACCACTGCCACCCTCGTCGCGAGAATTGGGAGAAGTCACGCCACCGAAACGGGCAGATGGCGCATCCGTAGCAAAGGAAGATCCAAAGTCTGGAAAGTCATGGGCGCATTTTGTCGCCGGAGGGTACGGAGCAAAGTCTTTACGCAATGGCACCAGAAGCTAACTGTTGCTCAGACTTGGTGGTATGGCCTCTGCCACTCTCACTGCTCCGCTTGATGTCCTCAAGACTCGTCTACAATCCACCTTTTATCAACAGCACCTCGCCGCCATGCGCGCGGCCCGAGGCTTGCCACCCATAGAATCCATGTCCTTTGCACGAAGTTCGCTATTGCACATCCGGGAAACAGGAGAGATATTGTGGCAAGTCCCCAAGGCAGAAGGCTGGCGGGCGCTGTTCAAAGGACTGGGGCCTAATCTTGTTGGTGTGGTCCCCGCTCGCGCAATCAACTTTTTTGCCTACGGAAATGGCAAGCGATTGATCAGCACACACTTCAACAACGGACAGGAAGCCGCATGGGTACATCTCTGCAGTGCTGCCGCCGCCGGTATCGTGACTGGAACTGCAACGAATCCCATTTGGCTGGTCAAGACGCGGTTGCAATTGGACAAGAACACCCACTCAGACGGTCGAGGTCGTCAGTACAAGAACGCTTTTGACTGCACAATGCAAACCATACGCAAAGAAGGTGTTCGTGGACTATACCGTGGGCTGACGGCCAGCTATCTAGGTGTTACCGAGAGCACACTACAGTGGATGCTGTACGAGCAGATGAAGCTGTCGTTGGCTAGAAGAGAGGAGAGGGTTCTTGCTAGCGGCAAGCCACCGACAATATGGGATCAGACTGTTGCATGGACAGGAAAGCTGACTGCTGCTGGTTCGGCCAAATTCGTGGCGGCACTCATCACCTATCCACATGAGGTTGTCCGCACAAGGTTACGACAAGCACCCATGGCAGACGGTCGACAAAAGTACACTGGTCTCGTCCAATGCTTCAGACTGATTTGGAAGGAAGAAGGCATGGCAGCACTCTACGGCGGCCTCGTCCCCCACATGTTCCGTGTGGTGCCTAGTGCTGCCATTATGTTTGGCACGTACGAAGGTGTGCTGAAACTTCTTGGAGAGAGCAGCAACATGTAAACGAACCATGTTGTTGATCTGTATACGTACGTGTACAACATCTACTTGCATAAAACGGCGTTTTTGTTTTGTTTAGGAAGGGAGATCTGCTTGGCATTTTCGGGCGTACTCCTATCACCACTCAGCTCCAATTGAGCTTGTATTTGTATTATGCGGATCAGGAAGATAAAAATTAAGGTTACGATATGTATGTACGTGGGTTACAGGCGTCCTCCAGCGTAGAGCACGAGCTCTAGATCTTACTCTCAACGAATAAATGGCAATTGTACAACATTACATCCTTTTGGTATTAGGACAATCACCGAATGTATGCGAAAGTCAGCACTTGATGATTGAAGCATGAATGTCTAGACTTTGATTGCCAGTCTTGGATTTCTCGGAGATCCGATAAACTTAGCGCGACTCTCCCGCCCAGAACATCGACTTTTGACATCTTCAGCGGCCGCCGCCCTCAATACCAAAACGACCTCCACCACACGACGCAATACGTGCGCGGGGTGCTACACCACAGCCGCCCAGCATGTCGACACAAATTCCTCTTCGCACAGCTCGAATACCAGCACTACAGCGACAATGCCTCTTCCTGCGCCACCAATACCAAAACCGAGCACACAACCTTTCCCAGTGCCAATCCCTCATACCAGCCACCCGCGCATTCTCGAACACCCCGTCGCGCCCCTCGAAACGCCACTCAATCGGCCAGGATAAGGCACAAACCAGGGCTGCGGCTGAGGCACAGGTTGGGCCATCACCAAAGGTCAACTATGAGAAGGCACAGACTGATGCTGATGCCATGGCTGAGGACATTGGATTGCTGCAAAATACCATCATCAGAGCGCCGTTTAGCGAGTTGAAGGGAATTGGTGTCCGGGGGATAACGAGTTACTACTGGGATCTGGTGAAGAGCAAGGGAACGGCGCTGTATTCGTAAGTGGTTTTCTGGAATTGAATTAGGTGGGCTAGACATGCCGGGTGGGGGAGAGGGCACGACAATTGAAAATATCAGTGGGAAGACATGGGAGGAATTACAGAGGACCACGTTGTCTGATCATGGCTTTGTACAATGGCTAACAACGCATCAGACGATACTACTACCGCGCATGTATCCAAAAAACCGGCTGGACAAGATTCTTCCCCATCGACCTCTTCAACAACAAAGAATACATTCGGTTGGCACAAAAAAATTACGAGAAAATCTACTCAAACCTTGCAAAGTACGTCTATCTCCCCGTATCCACACCTATATTCCTCATCCCACCCCTCCCAACTAACCATTGTTTCCTCCAAAAGAGGCACCACCGCCCCCCTAAAACAAACCTGCCTCCCTCCCCTGCTCAAATCCCTTGAATCCCGCATCCTCTCCCGTGGCCCCGTGCAGTTGCAATGGCGACTCCACGGCCCATTTAAATCCAGCCGCGTAGTATCGCACCGCGCCGCGCCCCTCGGCGAGTCCATGCCGGACACCGCCTACCGACAAGTCGTCGTGCGCCTCGTATCCGAGCAATCACTTCGCGCGCTTCCTGCTTCCTCTTCGTCTACGACGACCCCAAACCGTGCAATCCACCGCTTACCTTGGATCCCGGATGCGGCGCGCCAGCAGCTGGAGAAGCAGCGGCAGCGCGAGCGCAAGATGCAAGATGAGAATGGGGGTAGCGAGGTTGCGGCGCTAGATGCGGTTGAGGAGGAGAATGTGGTGCCGAAGACGGTGACGGAGTACCTGGTGTTGCAGAAGAGGGTTATCAGGGGTAAGGAGGATGACTGGAAGGTGTGGGGGTTTGCGGAGGAGAGCACGCCGAGTGTGATTGAGAGGGATCAGGAGTATTGGCGTAAGATGCTGGATATGCAGGCGGGCGGTGCGTAGAGCTTGCTTTCATGGATCTTGAGAGAACGACGGATATTTTTTCCCCCACTGTAACCATACTTTGTACAAAAGGATTGACGTGTGAAGAGTAACCTATGTGGGTTTATTGGGATCCTCACAAATGACGACGATCTTTTGCAGAAAAGAAAAAGTCTTCACTTGTGATTTTTTTTCCGTCCAACTCCAGCCACGCGAGCACAAACGTCAAAAATGCGAGTTGTAGAGACAATGCTTTCTTAATTTGAGCGCTACTCACTTTGTAGTAATCACATAAAATAAAGTCCATCGTCCAACGCAAGCATTTAGCGCATAAGTATTTACACTGCCGCGCGAAAAGAAAGCCTCTCTCTCTCTCTCTCTCTCTCACTATCGACACCTCGAAATCCTGCCATCCACTTTTCCTTACTCACAATGGAAAAGAGACCATTCAGCCAAAGCTTTCTGAAAGAGAAAGCAGTGCCGCTTCAGCCGTACCGGAATATTCTCGAGGGGGTCGCGCGCAAAAAAAAGGTAAACAGTGATTCGGGACTAGAAACCGTGGACCTAAATAGTAAATTCCAATATCAGTTGTTGCATTTCGGCTGGCTAGAGGGGAAGAGGAAAGAACAGAAGTTTTTTTATATAGCCTTCCAATTTTGGGAGCGGAAAGTGGGAGAAATAGAGGGAGAAAGAGTGTGTGTGTGTGACTCACCTTGATTGTTTTTGCGTCGAGACCGAGGCCTTCCTTCTTGTCGGTCAAGAAGTCTTGGACGTCCTTTCGCTGGTCGCCCTGGAGCTGGACGACCTCGCCCATTTCGGCGTCGCTCACAATGGTGCCATTGCAGGCAAACTTCTTCTTGATCACTTTGAGGATCTTCTTTTGGTCGAATTTCTTGGGGAGACCTTGTACGGTCGTCAGGGTTTTGCGGCCATTGCGCTCTGTGGTTGCGTCAGCTGGGGGAGTGTTCCTGCAGCGAGGACTGTTTATTTTTTTTTCTCGCGTCAAATGTGCAAGGGCGGTGAGGGACGTACGTTGGATACGAATATGAATGTAGTCCTGCTGAGTCTGTTTGACCTGGCCGGTATCTTCATCCGCTTCCGCGAACGGGTCTGCAGTGTAGAGTTAGCAGCTGGATTGCGCGTTGTGGTGCAGGGTGGGGGCTGAGGGTTGCAGCTGCACAGCTCTTACCGAAGGTCTTAAGGTTCTCGATGGACATACGACTGTCGGTGGGCGCGTGTGCGAAGGTGGGGGGGTTGTGGGGTTATGGATGTGTCGAGTCGCCAGTGAGATAGTTTTCTGTTGGGATGCGGTGGAAAGGGAGCTTTTTGCGGGCTTCACAGAGGGTTTGGAAGAGGGTTTGCTGCTGCAGCCGAGAGTTGGGAGGGTCGAGTGAGCAGGCTGGGAAAGAGAGGTGGGGATGCGGAAGGGGAAGAGCGAGCCCCGCTATGGTCTGTGCACGGGGTGAAGGCAGGACGAGACAGGACAAGGCAGGACAGGGTTGGATGGATGGATGCAGATGGATAGACGGTGCTGGTTGCCGTATCATGGAATGCGAACGAATGCATGCGAGTAGGCAAGGGTGCGAGTGACACGGGGCGACGCGGCAAGACACGAACCGTCGTTGGCGCAAGACATTGGTCGTTGGCAGCCAGCCGACAGCTATCGTCGCATGCTCGCGGCCAAGATTGGATTATACAGTTTGCTTGGTACAGCTGCTACCTTGGCGCCGGCTACAGACAATCTATCCTCGTACTGCCACCTACGAAGGGGGCACGGCAGCAAAGGCCTCGGTGCCTGACGCCTGGCCGGGACGAACAGGCGGCGGGGGGAGGAACATGGACGAGTACGTCTGTGGCACAGCGTCAGCATCAACATCATCTCGGTAATTATCAGGCGGGGGAGAGCGTCTTACGACGACGAGTGACATGACTGCGAGTGAATTAGCATGGGAGCCGGATCTACTTGGGATGGGAGTATGCATACTAGACATGCCGACCTGGAAGTAAGCAGGCGTAGTCGACGTCTTCCTCTGCTCGGCCGTCTCAGCCAGCCAAGCCTGGATAGCAAAGACTACAGCAACCCTGCACTGCGTCAGTCATGCGACGTCGCACACACACACACACACAGACTGAAGACAGCAGACGACTCACCAGCCGATCATCCTGTGCAGCACCGTTCCACGTCAGTCATCATGGCCATTGCAATTGGGCGGGATTGCCTCGATATCAATACGCTGGGGTAGTGCGTACTTGTTGCGCGTGAAGATCTGGGGGGAACTATATCAGCGTGCAGCATGGTGGCGACTAGGCCAGCGTGACTTACAGCAGCCATGGGCAGCGTGCTCGACAGCGTGCCTGCAAAGTCGCCATTCAGATTAGCAGGGTGCGCGTGTGCAGGACAGCATCGTCAGCGGGAGACGGCAGGGCGCTGCTCACTCGACATGTCGCCTTCATCTTTGCTCTTCTCGGGCTCGGCATAGGGCACGACTGCACGACCATGTTAGCCACGTGACCAGACAGACACAGGGTGTTGAGCCCCTATGACGGGGGCGTTGGCTGCCAGCGCCAGAGAGCCAGGGCTGGCGAGCGGTTAGTCACGTACTGAGGTCGGCGCGGCGCATATCTTTTTTCGAAGCCATGGTCGAGATTGGGGGGGGCCGGCGGTGTGGGCTGTTGGCCGATTTATCTACCGTGGTGGAGACTGGTGGACGTAAGACGAGTGTGATGGGCGTCGTCGTGGTCGTGGGCTGGGAGCGAGGCCGGGATTGCCTGATAGCACTAGGCCCGTCGTCGCCGCTCCCCCATGCTTGCCTCGCTCTATCGTAGCACCGGATCATCGTCTCCGCTGCTGGGCTGGCAACATCCTCTAGACTGCCCACTAGCCGACACGCCTCACGTCGTCCATCCTTCGGCCCCGTCCACCCTCCTCATCTCCCGACCACCACATCTCTCCCTGTGTGGTGCTGGCAACAGTCGCGAGCACATGTCCCCGTCGCCCTGCGGCTGCTCCCATCTGCATCTCCATCTATACCACTACACCTGCCTCTCAGCTCGCCCAGCCACAGCAGCCCCGGCGCCCTCCCTTTGCCCATCTGCATGCGCCTGATTCAACAATGAAGTCGCCCCCTGTGCGATGACTTCTCGACCTGGCCCGGGGATT